ACACTCATACACATAAATAAAATTAACAAATAAAATACTAAAAAATAAACTGTGAGAGGTCACCAAAGACCTTTGAGCTTGAAGATGGCATCGTCAAAATGGGAGGTTAAAACAATGAAAGGCAATTGGCTTGAGGATAGATTTGAGGGTGCAGAGTGAATCTTTAGGCACTGCAATAATGTGAAAGATGAGGAGTCAGCTGTGGGGACAAGGAGGATGAAAAGAAGGAATATAATGAAGAGATAGATCATTTATTGGTGTATTGGATCACATACCATATATACTTATACTTACATATAACACATTCATTCTTCAAAATTGGCTTAACATATTAATAACATTATGTAGGAGATTGGATGTGGGTTGTGGAATAGAAAAAGACAGATAACTCTGGAGTTTCTAATTTATAATTGATTTTCTTATTTTCTCCATTAGGGTGTTCCCAAAGACAGAGACTACTGGGGCAATTGGGGACAGGTAAGGAGGTCTGATGAGCTGCTTGGTCAAGGTGCTGGGGCAACCACCAGGCGAGAGTATTTAGAAGTGAGGCTGGAACTGACTGGACAGGGACTTCAGAGGTGTCAGAATGGCGACAGACATGGAAGCCATGGGAACTGATGAGATTTCCCTATGTAGGGAGAGAGTCTGCTTGTCTACTTTCTGGGAAGTATCTTGCCCAGGAGGTTTATCTTCTTTTCAGTGATAATCATTTTTAAATGATAAACTAGACTGTACAGTGAATGCTGAAACAGAACTATGTATTTAAAATGCAAAAAAGTGGAAACTGCTTTGGGTTAACCTTGGAGGATGGGTAGAAAAGTATCTGTGAGACAGTGGGGTGGGAGGGTAGAAAAGACTTTCTAGGTAGAAGGAACATCCTGTACTGGGATGGGGGATCTGGATTCTCTAGTCTGGGGTTAAATAGTCTATTAGTGGTTAAGAAAATGGGGAAGTGTTGAAGGTTTCATAAACCTGATTTATTCCACACATACAGGTACTTGGAGATATTTTAACTTCATTACAATGAAATCTCAAGCTCATGTCAAAGCTTTGTTTTCCCTCCAATGTCCTTCTTAACCCTAGGTTTGGCTCAAGTGTTTTCTTCTGGGAAAAGTTGCCCCCTCATCTCTGTACCCAGCTGTAAGAGGCCTCTCTTCTGCTCTCTATCATGGATGTGACCATGCACTGGGAACAAGCCTTGTTGTCTTTATACCCTCCACATCTGGCACCATCTAGGGCTGTTAAATGAGTAAATTTCCTGGGGGAGGGTGAGGACAGCTTCTTTAGGTTATTTATTTTTATGTGCATTAGTATTTTGCCTGCATGTAATGCCCATAGAGGCCAGAAGAGGGCGTCAGGTCCCCTGGAACTGGAGGTAGGAACTCTTGTTAGATGTGGGTGCTGGGAACCAAACCCAGGTCATCTGCAAGAGCAGCCAGTGCTCTTAACTGCTAAGCCATCTTGCCAGCCCTGAGGATGGCTTCTTAGATGTTTTTAGAAGAGAAAAGTAAAAAATTTTAGTATTTCCAGCTTAGGAAAGTCACAGGGCGCATAAAAAGTAAAACATCATTCTGTATAATTAATAAGCCTAATGAAATCAGGCTGAACATGGAGGGAAAAAGTAAAAACTTGTGTCCTGGAATAGATTCTGGTAGGTTTGTTCAGTATTCAAATCTTTCTCTAGAGACCACTAGGGAGAGCCTGCCTGAGAATGAAATCAACTCAGGAAAACACAATCAAGAGACACATTTCTGACCATATCATTTGAACACCTGGACTTTTCAAATGCATGGCCCAATAAAATTCCGATCACAAGGCAGTTGAAACAGGAATTTTTGTCACTTGAGCTGAAAGAGTTCTGACTACCTGTTCACATCCTGGGCCTCGAAGACCAACTCAGGCACATCTGATGGCAATGCTCATGTAGCTTGGTTTCCTCACATGGACAGTGGGGGAGGTGCAATCTTTTCTAGAATGATGATGTTACAAAGAACACAGACAATTCCCTGTTCCAGGAGGTGAATAAGAAACTAACTATACTCAGTGTACATCATTCTGTCACCTGTCTGTTGCTTTATTTTCTTTAGTAACACCAGAATTTTGAACACCACAATGGCTGAGACAGACATTTCTAATATGGGGTTGTTTAGAGCAATTGTATAGGAACAGATCAACATGTATTTCAGAGTTTGTGGGACCACAGTTATTTTTTATTATAGCTACTCAACTATTAGAATGAAAAGTAGCCTGAGATATTATGTAAATTCATGGGCATGTCTGTGTTCTAACATAAACTTCCTTGAACACCGAAATTTGAATTTCCTATTATTTTTATGCCACAAAATATTTTTTATTTTTTTCAACCACTTTAAAATGTAAAAATTATTCAACTGTAAAAAAGAGGTAGCATGGGGGCCAGTTTGCTGAAGCAACACACACTGGATTAGGTGATTATAGGCCCATCCAAGGTCTGTAGGTTCTACCTACGGCTCCGATATTGTGCTAGGTTTGTGTTCTTATAATGAAGTACGAGGTAGGCTACAATATATATACACAGGGCTTCAATTTCAACACATGAATCCCTGAAGGACACAGTAAAACCATATCCAAACCATTGGCATCTATTAACTGTGTGATCCTGTCCAAGCCACATGGTCTCTCTGGGTTTCTGTATTTTCCATATGGCCAACGAAAGAGCTGGGTGGGAGGGTCTCACAAGGCCTTCACCTCTCAAATACCAGAATCCTGATATTTCATTCACCGAATTCATTGTACATGCATTAAATGACAGGCGCTGTTTAAAGTCTGGTGACACTAGTGACAGGGTTACTTCTTAGTCAACTTTACATTTAAATGAAGAGATAAAATCAATTTATACACAATGTTTGGGGAATGATGAGTTCTATTTAGAAGATGATGAGGAAAGAACTGGAAAGTGGCAGGGTCATAATTTTAAAGGGAAGCCAAGGATAGCCTCTTAATCATTGACATTAGAGCAGAGAAATGATCAGATGAAGTGGCTCTGTGGCCAAAGAGCATCCCAGGCAACAGCAGCAGCCCAGGGAAGGCCTTAGGAAACAGCTCCCTTGCATTCAAAGAAACAGGAGGCCACTGTAGCTGACCACAGTAAATAAGGGGAAAAGAGGCTGTAAGGCAGACAGGCAGTTAAGGACAAGTCATCTGGGACCATAGAGATCTTTGGATCTTATCCTAGGTGTGATGGAATGCCACCGAAGGACTTTTAAAAGTTTTGTTATGGAGTTCAGGCTAGCCATGATTTCCTGAACTCAAGTGGTCTTGCTTCTGCCTCTCAAGTAGCTGAGACTACAGACCCATGCCACTATAGCTTGAGAATATTATTTTATGTGTGTATTGTCTGCATGTAGGTAAGTGCACCTTGTCATGCAATGTCTGTGGAGGACAGAAGAGGCTGTCAGATCCCCTGGAACTGGAGTTACGGACAGTTGCCACGTGGGTGCTGGGATTCGAACCCGCATCTTCTGCAAGAACAGCCAGTGTTCTTAACTGCTGAGCCATCTCTCCAGCCTGAGAATAACATTTTAAAAGAACCTTTCAAAAGGCTTGCTAGGGGCTGGAGATATGGTTCAGTAATTAAGAGCACTGCTTGCTCTTGCAGAGGACCAAGATTCAGTTCTCAGCATCCACATGGCAGCTAACAACCATCCATAACTCCAATTCCAAGGGATCCAACACCCTCTTCTGGTCTTGGTATTGGATACATGTGGTGCACTTTCATACATGCAGGCAAAACACACATACACATAAAATAATTAAAAGACTGCTGGGCCTGGTGGCACAGGTGTGTGAGGCCAGCTGCTTCAGAGGTCTGGGGCACAAGTTCAAGGCCTAGCTTTAAGCTACAGAATGGGACCATTTCTCAAAATGAAAACTACTAAAAGGTATGTAGCGCAATGGTAAGGTACATGTCCAGCATGTACAAAATCCTGGATTCAATTTCCTCCATTTAAAAAAACAAACCTCTTTGGCTATTGTGTGGAAAACTGACTCTGTGGGGGCAACGGTGGAGGCAGGGAGATGACTTGAACAGAAAAATGCAGTGCTGGAAGGGGTGAGAAGTAGCTGAACTCATGATGCAATTGGAAGATGGACTGGACAAGGGGATAAGAAAAAAAAGTAATTTTTTTTTCCCAAAAATTTGCTGGGTTTAAGCATTTTAGGAACATAGAGATCATGCACAGGAAATGTTTAAAATTTAACTTATAAGGCAAAAACATATTGTTCTTTTATACTAGTATAAAAATCAAGATATGTGTACTGACTTGGAATGTGGCCCCACATCTTTTATTTAATAAATAAGACAGGACTGTAGAATGCTTGAGTTCATATAATTGGGGCTATGGATTTATGACAGGCTTTGAAAAGCCTCTTTTTCATGTAGTCTTTTCTCTTAGTACTGAGATGTCAACTTCAGAAAACCAATGGGTTAGGGTTATGTTGTACATTTGGTATAACAGGAGCTGAAAAGATGACAGTTTGTACCTCCTGCTTCAATCTTTCCATCCTCTTCCATCAAATTAGAAGTGAGATGATTCTGACAAAATAGTAAACCAAAGAATTATTTCAAAGGGCAAATAGCTTCTTAAAAGTTGGCCAAGTTAACACTATTTAAAAGCCTCTCTGTGATCAGACCGCTTTCAACATTCTTACAGTGTACACACTGATCCTTTTAAACCTTCTACTTCCAGAGAGAAGAAACACTGTACAGCACAGGCTGGGACATCAGTCTCCTGTCAATTTCTTTTCCAATAGTTACATGTGCAATGAGACCACCTACCTGCTCCTCACCTAACAGGACAGCTAGGCAGGCAAAAGTCACGGTGAAGGGAATTTCCTCATGGAAACTTCTGGAAAGAAGGCACTTGAAAGTGGCACATCACCTGGCCCCACCAGAGGAGTCTGGAAACCAGCCTACCAGAGAGCTGTGAGCCAGTACATGATGAAAGACGTACAACCACACAGACACTGTCTCCTGTTTATTCACATGGAGGGATAAGAATCGGTACAAATCATAGACATTGTTTAAATACAAATAAATAGTTCTAGTTTCTAAAGGAAACAACTCTATATAACCATAAGTATTTTAAGTTCCTATGAAAAGCAGAAGGCTGCTGGCATTTTCTACTCCACATAAACCTTGGAGAACTAACTTAAGGATAAAATGGTGAATCTTAGACTCCAAGAATTCACCAGAATAATGGGAGCTAGTGTGTCCACCTCCCTGCGCTATCCCCCCAAGTGGAAGGAGAGTTTCTTGCATCATAGATACATATAGCCAATAAATGTAGAAGGTATTATATATCTAAAGACAGCTAAAAAGACTGACCTTGGGAAAAGCAGAAACATTTCTTTGACCCAGTTCTGGATTCTGAAACCTCCCTGAAGTTTTGATTCAAGTGTCTTAACTTCAGGAAGACTGAAGTTTCTATAAGGAAAGTTTCTCCCTGCTAGGAACGATAGTGGCAAGACAGTCTTTTGTCATCATGACTGGCACCTGGAGTAAGTAACAAAATGATGTGCCTAGTAAAGAACAGTGCTGCCCAATCCAACAGTCTGTCAAGCCTGGTACCAAAGTGACCAAAACTGTGCTGAGGAAATGTCCCCTCCCCCAAGTCCATTGGCTTATGCATATCTCCATATTGTTATATTCAGAATGTCAAAGAGGCAAAAATATCTAGGGAGAAGTATGTTATACAAATGAAGGCTGGTTCCAAATCATGCAGCCTTCTGAAACTGCATAAAATGTCAGGTAGTTCCGATCTCGGTGCTGGGGTGGTGGCTGTCTCGGCTTCCTGTGCTCACTGCATTGCCTTTCTCAGTCTGCACAAGGTCAGGCTGCTGCTTCTACAAAACCCGACATAACTGCTAGAAAACTACGTCTGAGAGTAACCGGTACGGCACACTTCAGGTTTTTAGAGAAAATTTTCTTTTCTACTTAGTTTGACCATGATGCAATTCTAACTGGAACAACCTCATGCTGTAAAAACAATCTCATGCAATAAATGCATTTAAAATCCAGGTTAATAACAACATTTGGCATTATAGAAGGCAGGATTATTTAGATTTGAAAACATGATCACTATAGAATAAAAGCTGAATTTCCAAATAGAATTTCTGTTGTGGTATAAAATGCTAAATTTGACTCTACAGTTCGTTGACATAAGCGATTTTAAGATACATAGGCTTTCCTAATTGAGATTTTGAAGTAATAAGCATAATTCTCAAGCACATTAGTATGACATTTGCTCAAGGGATCAATTCCTTTTTGCCAAGAATTCTCATTTTTAGTCCAACTGGAAAGATTTCCATAGTAAATCCTCAAACAGCAGTTCTAAAAATGATTTAAAATCTGTCTCTCGCTTTCCACCCTGGTACTTATGTTTTCTTTATGTTAAAAAGATGTGTAGACATAAAAACACTAATTTTTTGGATGGATGTTAATAAATCTAGTTTCCTGATTTAGATAACAACGTTTCGTATGTCTGCCTTGCTCTCTGGCACACTGTATGTTTCTGGAGTTACAAATCCAAACAAACCAGCAAACTAGAGCATCTCAGTGTTCAAATCACAGTTTTGGACACAATCCTATTTATTCTGGATGATGCTCAATTCCACATATAGTTCAGGGAAGACACGTCCATAAGAATATCGAAAGTGTAATGTTACCAAACTCTTAGCATGTGATTGTGCTCTGTTGGATAGTACATTTACATCTACAAAGTACAAAGGCGAAGGAGCTCAGGTGTGGACACCACTTTGCTTCTGCTGCCTCAGTAATTTACAACCATCATCTTCGAGACTTCCAGGCTGTTCTAGAATAAGGAGTAGTCCTTTTTTTATCTGGCGGTTTAAAGTAGGAATAAACAGGCGCTGCTGGATATTCTGCATCAGGGTTTTCTGCCATCATTTTTAGCTTTGCTTCAATGGCTTTTATCTTTGCAGTGACGCTGGAAAAAGGACAACAGAGGGTCAGAGTGGGACTAGGTGCATCCGAACATTTGTGCACTCCTCTGCTATGCTGCTGTGGGTTAGTGAAATAACATGTCAGTACATTATATACATTAACAGGGAAAAACAAAATCTCAACAAGCTGTTTTTAACACAAGCTCAGGCACTGTAAAGTCACTCCACATTCCCTTACACATTCAATCCCCAGACAGACACTATTCAGCATCTCAGTGTTTGCCAGAAAGTAGACATTCAAAGAGGATTGACACTGACATTATCAGGTAGGTTATGTTCCTTACTTTACAAATGTTAAATGTAAATGGATACTAAGTGAAAGAGCTGAGATCCGAATACAAACTGACTTAAAAGTCCATCCTATTAACCAATACGCTACAACATTTTGAACCAATGAGTAATAATAGAAAAAAATTCTAGAAATCCTATAGTCTCTTGTTAACAAATGTGTATTACAATGAACCAGGGACAGTACTCAGGACTTCACTGCTTCTGACCCTTGTAGCAACCCTTCAAGGGTTACCATCTGTATTTCATAGTAAAATGGCAATGCCGAGAGGCATAAAAGGGCCCAAGGTTCACAGAGCTAATAAACTGCAGGGCTAGGATTCAATCCCAGTCTGTCAACAAAAAGCCTTTGCTTTTTCCTTTCTATCATAGTGGGGGAGGAACAGTTCTGTATACAAAGAAAGGATGAGGTGAGGAGATAATGCAGGAGTTGTAAGGAGTTTGCTTCTGACAGGTTATTACACTCCCTGGAAAAGAATGCAAATCCCCTGGCACTGAGGATTTTTAGGCTCCTAAATTCCCTTATTTTCAAATATTTTATTTATTATTATTTTTCTGCATTGATATTCTCTTTATATTAAGTTTAAAACAATAATTTCTTATTATGAATATAATTTATTATACAAATTTAGAAAATTCAGATAAGTAAAACAGAAAACAATACTTACATTATAAATGGATAATGTAGTAAACTTTTTCTATTGGCTATTTATTGAAATCCCTGATTTTTTTTTAAAGGTGCAGGGACCCAAACCCAGGACTTCACACACAGCAGACATGTATCTGATGCACATCCCAGGTCTCTCTGAAGACCCTTAATCGGGTTCTTTTGGAGACCAGGAGAGGTTCTATGGTTATTAGAGTTTATCAAGTAAACATTACAATAGCTGAACAGGTTTCTGAAGCAATGGAGGGAGATTGCACGGGGACTGTTTTATCCCAACAGCCTGCTGCTTCGATGACTTTTCCACCAGCATGTGGAAATGCTTAAGATACAGCTTAACCAGATCTATCTGGCTCTCACAGTCTGAGCCACAGCATACAGGTAACGGATACCTGATTTCTGCACAGGCTTGCATAATTTTATTTATAATTAATGTTATCCATAGGCAAGAAATGGAGTGGAGCTGGTTCACTCCCATTTACTATGAGAACACCCATCTTCATTTCTATCCTTGTACGAAGCTTTACTAAAAAGTGATTGATGAAGTAGTTTGTTAAAGAAGCATTTTACTGCAAATTCCCCTTAATATGTGCCTATCTATGTCCAAATGTAACAGTGTAGGAGGAATTACCTTTCCATGGCACAGTTATGGGAGTAAACAACCACTCCTCAAGTGGGTTTAAGGTCTGCTTCATAGGATGGAGTCCATATCCAACACTGATGTCAGACTTATGACCCTGAGGCTAGACAGATCACAGGACATAGGGGAGGGCATAATGCTAGTTTTCTCCTAAATAGTTAGCATAGTTATCACATTGAACTGACTCCTAATGACTTATTTTACTTTCTTTTTCTTTCTTTCTTTCTTTCTTTCTTTCATTCATTCATTCATTCATTCATTTTTATACCCACTTCCCAGAGAGCACCCTACGACAGCCTCCCTCCCCCCACTAAAGCTGTTATACTCTGATATTATTATATTTTTAATGTGTATGAGTGTATTGCCTGCATGTATGTGAGTGCACCTGTGTCGTGCAATGCCACGTAGGTCAGAAGAGGGCTTTGTATTCCCCTGGAACTGGAGTTAAGGATGGTTCGTAGCTGCCATGTGGGTGTTGGGAATTGAATCCGGGTCCTCTGCAAGAGCAGTCAGTGCTTTTAACCACTGAGCCATCTCTCCAGCCCCATATTTTCCTTTTAAAAAAAATTAACTTATTTTTATTTTATGTGTATGAGTGTATTGCCTACATGTATGTAAGTGTACCATGTGCATTCAATGCCTACAGAGGCCAGAAGAGGGTGTCAGATTCCCTGGAACTAGAGTTATGGACGGTTGTTAGCTGCCATGTGGGTGCTAGGAACTGAACCTGGGTCCCCTGCAAGGGTAGCCAGTGTTCTTAACCGCTGAGTCATCTCTCCAGCCCTAACTTTCTATTCTTGATGCTGTCAATGCTCTATAGATAGTGAGACAAATTTGTAAGGGGTGTACACATGGTCTTCTAGAGATCTTCAGAAGGTACATGGCTACTGAACATGCCCATACATTTTCATGGGCAACAAATTAAAAAACAAGTCCCACGGGGCTGGAGAGATGGCTCAGCGATTAAGAACACTAGTTGTTCTTGCAGAAGACCTGGGTTCGAATCTCAGCACCCACATAGCAGCTAACAACTGTCTGTAACTCAGGGGACAGGGGATCTGACAGCCTCTTCTGACCTCCGCGGGCATTGCACTACATGGGTGCACTTACCTACATGCAGGCAATACACACATACACATAAAATAAAAATAATAAATAAAATTAAAAAAAAAACAAAAAACAAAAAAACACAAGTCACCAAAAAGCAATGATTAAATATATAAGGAGATGGATGCTTTCCCTTATACGTGTTCAAACATCACATGGCATTCCACAAATAAGTGCGAATTTTATATCAATTAAAGTAGCCCTAAGTTATAATAAAAATCCTGACGTATTACCTAAGATGTATTTTGGTACTTCTTCCATCAATAAGACAGCCAGCCCTTCAGTCTATATGAGTCACAGGGAAACAACCTCCTCCAGTTAGGCAGTTGTAAATAGAAAGATGAAAACAGATTCTCTGGATTAAAAAGTAGATGGAAAACATGAGGCTATCTGGTAAACATGCTGCAAATACTGAGCCTAAGAAATTAAAGACGTGTTCACTGTAACATGGAGACCGCTGAGCATAAATCCAATGATCCACATGGAAAGAGCTATGAAAACCCATAGAGATCAGTCTGTGGTCAAGGACGTGCAAATTTTATGGGGAAAACGGTCTGTGGCTATGAGTGTCCAGTCAATCTAGAGAAATCATTAAGTATTTTAATTTAAAAAATAAATTTGCAGGAGCACAAAGTCAACACAAAATTAAGAAATATGAGATTAAATTTAAGTGAATAAAGACATAATTTTAATTTCAAGACCATTTCCTCCCCTTACAGTTTAGTGAGATGCTTTTAGAGCTGTTGTTCAAGTGCGCATAACATAAGAAAGACACTTGTCCCTTTCGACTGGCACTCCATCCAAACAGGTATCACCGATTTTATAATTGTGTAATAAACTCATTAACTATGATTTCTGATCCACTGATGCACCTTTACATCCTTTCTTCTTCCCCCACTTCTACACCCTGGAGCAATCTTGAAACAACAAGTACAAGATGGCCTGTTAGGCCCGTTTGGATTCCAACTTGGCTTTTTACAACCTGTATGGTCTCGGCCAGGATAGTTCACCTTTCTAAGCTTTAGTTTTCCCACACGTAAAGTGCTTTTTATAACATTAAGGGGCACATTACAAATAATATATTTAGCATAGTACTTGCTTATTGTAAGTAAGCGCAATAAATCCTGTGTTTCTGTTAAATTTTTTTTCTCCTAAGATACAATACTGAAAAAGGACTGCTCCACTCCCCCAAAAAACCAACACACACACACCAACACACCCAGCACTACTTCTGTTTCACTACTCACTTCGACATTTCCCTTTCTCTACTCAACTCCTAGTGTCCCTGTTTTGAATTAACTCCAAAGAAGCAACTAGTAATTCATACACACTAGAACCAAAACTATTATAGTTGCTGTGGGTACAGAATCAGATGTCAGCAAACTGAAATTCTGTATAAGGGAACACATAGCCAGGGAGGAATTAGTATATAATGACAAATGCCAAGGGATTTCAGGCCTTATTAAAAATGCTCATTTTTAGGGTAAGGGCTGTTATCTGATTTATCTTTGTAACTTTGTGCTAAGCACAAGGCATGGTATATGGTAATTAAACCTGTTGTTGTTTGACTAAATGATTTTATAAATGGTGGGTACATGATCATGGGGGGGATGGAAAGAGAGGAATATAAACTGAACACATCCCTCAACACATCAGGAGCCAGGAATCCAAATTAAGAGTCTGAAGATTCACTACAGTGTCAATGAAGGCAGGGATAAAGAAATGGCTGTTGAATGTCCGTACTACACCACCTTACCTGAGGTTAGACTGAGTAGGCTCAGTGCTTGAGGATGGCTCAAGACTGATTGGAAGGATCTTATCATTCTTGTTATGATCATATCTCTGAAAGCAAGAAAAAGGGTCAATTATTTCACCTGGGAAGAAACCAGCTCTTGCTGTAGTACATGGTTTAGTTAAAATATGCTAATCCCAGCCAGTTCACCACAGGCACATTTCTGGACAATTTTAGGCCTGTTTTACATTTAGAACTAATGCAAAAGTACACACAGCTTTGGCCTAAAAGCTGCCAGATTAGAAAAAGAAGTTGAGAAGAAGCTTCTTTCAAGCCTTTAGTTCTCATTATTTGGTAGAGAAAGAATTTCCCAGCTAAGAATTTTAACGTTCAGATTCACAGATGGTACAGATACACAGCAGGGTTGCCCTCTTACACTCTTAAACTGTCATACATTGCCTCTTATGATATTTGTTTTATTCAAAACACTTAAAAATTCTGGTAGATTCTGCAAAGTACCAAGCATAATATTCAACTCTTAACAGGCCTGAGTGGAGAAGAAAGTAGTTACAGCGTTCGGTTGCTGATACAGAAAACATTACAGAGCAAAGGAGTTTAATTTGATGTCGGATAATTACATACTTCTTGTAAAAAGTATGATATTAAGGAGCAATCAGGAGCTTCTGGTCAAAGAAAAACCAAGAGGTAGAGATTTCCAAATGAAAGGCGGGATGAAGGACACTTTCTCCTACAAGCCTCTGCAATGAACAAGAACTTGACAGCCAGTTTGGCAAATGAGACTTGATTTTCTTTTGAGTGAAAAAGCATTTGGTAATTGTTCTTATTTCTATTTTTAAGGTAATGTGTCTTAGAAATGGATAACGCTGTGTGATTACCTGAAATGTTCATAAGGATCCACAGTCTCTGAGCTTTGTTTTTTAGCCTGGATGCCCCATTTGAATGGGGTTTAGTCTCTAAGTCTTTACTGGAAAAGAGTGATGGAAAGTGGACAGGGTGTCTCAGTGGTTAAGAGAAGTGGCTGTTCAGAGGACCCGGGTTTGATTCCCAGCACCCACATAGCAGGTAACAACTGTCCATAACTCCAGTTCCAGGGGATCTGACACCCTCCTCTGACCTCTGTGGTCATTGTATGACATGGGTGTGCTTACATATATGCAGGCAATACACTCATACACATAAAATCAAAATCATACATATTAAAAAAAGAAACCAAACCTATAGGCTCATCTAGCTCACAACCAAAGCTCTAGCTCTGACAGCTGCAGACCCTTCTGCTGGCAGGTTTGTTCAGACCCATGGCAGCAGGAGCTGAATCCTGGGACCACTCCAATCCATACTCTTCTCCACCTCTTTCCCAGCTGGAAGAGAATGTCTTTTTTCTTTATTTGTAAAGGCCACAGCATTTCTAGTACTTTCACCCAATGGACCAACTATAGGATGAATAGAGCAATTCACCATTTCTCAGGCTTGGAGATAATACAAGCACTGCAAAGTTCCACAATCCCATAGTCATAATGCTCAAGACCTCTGGAGTAGAGAGATGCCAGTATTTTAAGCATAGAAACTACCCATTCCTCAAGAATTTAGAACAATAAACAAATTCAAACTCCTCAGAGACTTGAGACTGGAAAAGGTCTAATAATGCCTACAGCAACTAATTTTAAAAATAAATACATTTTTTTTTTTCTCCACAGAATGACTCCCATGGAAAAAAAATGATACAGGCTCAAGTGTGCACATCAGGCACATGGAAAAATCAATCACAAACAGGATCTGTGGGCATGTAGAGAGAAACAGTGAAGGAACTTAATCCCTCTTGAGAAGCTTCTCAAAAGAAAAATCTGGCAACACACATGGTGATACAAGTTAGAGACCAAAGTATGGCCATTCCAGACGCAAAGAGGCTGGGATGCAAATGGAGAGGTGGGAACTGTTTCTCAGAGGATGGCTGGGATGAGGCAGGGTGTTGCCCTGCTAGCTGAGACTTACCTTTACTTGAGCATGAGCCCATCGCACCACCAGCTTCTTAGACAGTGCCAGCTTGCCATTGAGACACTGGATGGCTTGTTCTGCTTCCTGCCCAAGATGGACAACAGTTAGTCAGAAATTCCAATGTTTAACCAGTGATTTGTATTCTCACAGGGTCTTACTGAGTTCTGAAGGCTGGGTTTTAATCAAATGGCTTTTGGTAACTACTTGACAAATGGTTTATAATTTCAAATGGCTGAACAACAAGAGAAGTCTGAATCTTTTAAAGTCAGACAAAATTCCAACTCCTCAGTTACCTGCTGGCAGTACAATGTTCCCAGGTCACCTACAACTCTGGCTTTGTCAGCTGTAAAACATGGATACTACTATGTGTTCCCAGTGGCTGGTGGCTGTATGGATTCAGAGTACATGGACAGCATGGAGCACACAGGAAGCACTTTCCCAGTATTAGCTGACAGCCCTGCCTTTATTGGAGTCTGTCTTTCTACATAACTACTTTAGCTGGTGTAGCACCCACAACTACCAAAAACTGCATTCCCCTCAGGAACCCCGGAGCTATACCCTGGACTATGGCTTACTGCTGGTATCCAAAATGCATAATAGTAATGGCTTCAAAGGATACGGGAGGGAAAGAAACCAGACTGGAAAAAGCAGAAGCCAAAGAGACTATGAGCAAGGTACCTGTGCGAGCCAATCTAGGCATCTGGTTTTTGTGCCCCAAAGCCCTGAACCTTTCCCCATCAGGTACAGTAGCAATGAGTTTAAGGAATGCCTGAAGCTAGTTAAAAGTGACTCTAGGTCACTCCCAGAAAATCTGGCTGTACTTTTCTACTGTGACAAACCTGCTTTGCTCTATTGGTATTCATGAGGCATTCAGCCAAGTACAACCCACATTCAGTGAGGGTGAAGAGGCCCTTAAGGAACAGGAAGTCCTAAAGGGCAGGGAAGTCTGAGACTTAAGAATTCCACTCAGCTATTACCAGTGATACTTTTATTCCTCCAGAGCTCAACAGCATGACATAAGTATTTATTCATTTCCCATTGTGGATCAGGCACTGGACATTCACCGGCCATAAGAAGGCTCCCTATAGCACATGAAGTTAGCATGCTACACAAGAGATATGGGTGCTGGGGATATGAACTCGGGTCCTCATGCTTATGTGTCAGACATTTTACTGAATTTTGCTAAACCATCTTCCTAGCCCCAGAAGTGTACATACTTAAGAAGTCAAAATGAGGGGGCTGGAGAGATGGTATAGTGATTAAGAGAGTAGGCTGCTCTTGCAGAGGATCTGGGTTTGGTTCCCAGCACCCACATGGTGGCTAACAACCACCTGTAACTCCAGTTCCAGGGACTCCAACACCTTCTTCTGACATCTGTAGGCATCACACAACATAGATGCACTTAACATACATGAGGGCAAAACACTCATACACATAAAATAAAAATAAATCAGAATGAATAGGGTGTGGTGGTGCAAACCTTTAATCCTAGTAATTGAGAGGCAGAGGCACGAAGATTTCTGTGAGTTCCAGGCTAGTCTAGTTTAATAGCAAATTCCAGGCCAGCCAGGGATATAGTGTGAAACCCTGTCTCTTAAAAAAAAAATTACAATTTCTGAGTAGCAGGCTTACCAGAGACAGGGTTTCTGTACCACAGGGCAAAATGACTGAAAGAAAAGGAGACTTCGTTGGGCAGCCATTAAAGCAGCAAACAAAACAAGGTAAGGAGGAGGGTTGGCCACTTGCTCAACAAAGGCATCAAAAATCATTACTCAGTAAAGGCCAGTGGCCTCAGACCTGAACCCAGGGAGAGGATGTTAGTGCATGCAGTTCTCAATTCATTTGTGGAGCTTCTCTTAGCACTTAGAGTGAGGCCTGCAGAGAATCATCAGCTTTGGCTCCGGCAATGAGATCAAGAGGCACACAAGTGATCATGACACAGGACACACTATGAAAGGGGGTGGGAGCTCAATTACCTGCTTAGTTTCAAAGTTAACGAAACAGTACCCTCGAGGCTGCCCCTCTAAAGCACCTGACTTGTGGAAGAGGAAGTCAAACTGCTTCACCTTACCAAACTTCTGGAGGAGCTTGAGGAGGTGGTATCTGTGGAGACAGAAAAACCCAAGTCCACTCTGGGAATGCTGTTGGCTTCTGAGCCTCAAGTGTGAGATAACTTACCCCAGGCAAAAAAAATAAAATAAAATCTCATTATTAATCTCTGCTTTTCTGAAAACTGCTGTGTTAAGTTTATTTGGCAAACAGAACTGTTTGCCTCTACTTGGGAACTAGAATTATCATGCCTACGTGTTTGTCCAACACAAAAATACCACATAAAACCCCACACCTAACAGCTGTCTGGCCCACCAGAGCACCATTTGTTTTTCTTTTGGAGAAAAGCTCAAAAATAGTGTCAATTTATTTACTTGTAATTTCTTGGCAAAGAAATAGCATTTGTGAGTAACTGTAATTCCATCAGAAATACACACACTCTCCCCAAACCAAACCTACCCAATATCAAAAATAAACAAAGTAACAAACATACTCATTCACACAAACAAAAAAACAGTCCCAGAACACTTCTCTATTAGATTTTGTAGCTAATCACTAGACACACATTTTACCTGTGAGAGACTTTGCCAGGAACCAAACCCTAGCTGGTGGCACTTCCACAAAGACTTCAGATGTGACTGGACATTAGGACAAAATGGAAGCACAACATGACTGAAGCTGGTTTCACAGAGCTGGGGACATTGACCAGTTGTGTGAATCATCCAGCCACAGGTAATCAACATACCTCAGCTGCCCTAACACAGTTTACATCCTGTGTCTGGTTAAGTAAGGAACATATCATGAAGGGAGAAATGTATTCCTGGCAGAGTCACTCCATGCTGCTGCTTGCCACCTCCCTCCTCATCCTCCTCTTGTATTCCTTATTCTAAAACTTACTTGGTTTCTATAGGACTTTTAAGTTATTCAAACAGATGTGACCTTAGCAGGTTGCTAGGGCCAATCTCAATTCTGACTTCCTGTCATCTGATGTAAGGGTGAGACAAACCAACAGCTCTCCCATTTCCTTTTCCTTTGACCTTCCTCCTGGCATCCTCTAAGCTATTCAAATGGAGTCAAGGCTTTCTCTAAACAATGCTGTCCCTGTGATACTAAAAAGGTATCAGCCCACATGCTAAATCTGTTATTGCTTGGAATTCTACCCCACAGGGAGTCAGTAAAGTTGTCCTTATAGGTACATTTTATATTCACATTGTTTTGGAGGAGAAACTCAACCAAGATTTTATTCTTGAGCTAGAAGCTCCTTTAAGAGACATAAACACATGAAACATACCATAAGTTGTACTAAATTGGATAAGCATCAATAAGCAAGTCCGTTACAGTGAATCAGGTGTCTGAAACCATGTAGACGGCATAATACAGGTCTAGTACTAGGGAGGGATGAGGGGGATTCCAAGCTCCACTGTGGGTAGTCATCTGGTTTTTGGACTGATTTTAACAGGAAAACTACCGTAACTCCCTACTTAATACCCCTCTCCCATTAGGAGACCTTAGTTACTCAGTGAGAATGTAGGATGTGACTCTTCAGGGAACAGGAGACCCCTCTAGTATAAACTTCTGTTCTTGATATATGAATAGGTTTACAGCAAGGGTGAGTCTCTCACACAGTGAGAGCGGCTAGGGGAGTCTCCCCCAGAGGCTTAAATTCACAGCCCCTCTGCTCTTACTACACCCATTCAAACCTTGACACCACGCCACTGACAGAATAGTGGGTCAAAGCATTAAAAAAAAAAAAAAAAAAAAAAAAAAAAGAGGCAAAAAACCTAAGGCTACTGGGGCATGGTTATCTTTTCATTAGCCCCGTTTTGCTTAATAGCAGGAAGGTAACGCGATTGGCATTTCCTAGGAAATGAATTTTAATTTACTCAGAAAAAAATATGCCAACAGATTATTCATTGTAAAGCTAACAAACACATGCTGCCTGAGAAGTGTGACCTTAAGATTCCAGGAACATCTGCTTAGGCCTGTGTCTTTCAACTTCTCTAGGATTTCTTTTCTTGTTTGATAATTTCTTGAAATTATCGGAACACTGAAACAAAAGAAATGAAATGTTTACTACTTTGCTTCCTGGAGATGGGGACTGCAAGCTCTGATAGTGAAAAAAGCCTGAAGCCTCTTGCTTTCACATCTGCAAGCACTTTTATCTGCTGCGGAGTATGGGCAAGCTCACTCCTCATCAGAGGCTCGCTTCCCTTAATGAAACGTGCACCTTGCTGCCTTCAGGAGAGAATTAGTATACAAATCCCACACGCATTTCTGCAACCTAATCAGTGTTTTCTTTCTGCAATGAGTCATTAAAATAGCCTTCCTGCCTGATGGTACAGAAGCAATTAACCATACAAATGCTAAAACAGATACCTACTATGTGCCAATTAGACACAGGACCTCCAGATACACAGAACTGCCTTCAAGACCCTTACATTCTGATTAGGGAAGAGTAATGCAGAAGCAATCAGGAAAAGAGTGACACCTGTACAGAGCACACACTTGTACACAGATGAAGGATAGTTCTGAGAAAGGAGTGGCATCTGAATGCAGTGTGCCAGGTGCGTGAACACCTTGTGGAAAGACAAGTGAAGAGTTTGGCTTATTGGAAGAAAGGGGGGGTAAGGCGGAAGAGATGAGACCGAATCATAGGCAGGGGCTCAGCCATAAAGGATGTGTGCTTAGGGAATTTGATAAGATGTTCTAGGCAACAGAAAGCAAATGAAATGACCTTTAGGATTGTTTCAGTACATTTTTTTTCCCAAGAAAATTTTCTTTCTAAGCCTATGGAAATTACTATCAGAATTGCTTTGTCCTGTGTCATGTACCTTATTACATGGTTTTTCTGTTTCAGACTTAAGGATGCAAAGAGTAAAGGCTGTTTTGTGCAAATCAAGATGTGCACAGAAGCAGAGACAATGAAGAAGAGCTTGGAATGAGGTGCGAGAAAAACAGGCTTCCTCAGGAAGTTATCTTCCCTTAAGCTCTGGTTTATCTAGCTGATCCCTGAAAGTCAGTATCGGAAGGTCACTTCCACCGGGCTGGTTCTCCATGGCTTGGCTCTTAAGTTTTCTTAATGTGCCCCAAACTGACCTCCTCCTCACCATGAACAAATGGTTCTCTGCAGCTATCCGTGGTCAGTGGGGACACGAGCTGTTTTGTTTCTTCAGCCAGGATGTCTCAGGCGCTGGAAGTCCAAGCCCCAGCACCATGAAACCAAACAACAATGCCCTTCAGAATCATCTTCAACTCTCCACTCCTCTTTATGTGTTTTCTCTCTCAGACTCACCCACCAGTATTCAAAATTACTGTCTCCATTTATGTGACAGCCAAGGGCAGCAGAAGGTTATGACAGCCTCTCTTAACTAAACTGCATGGTCAGTCTTGGCCCTTCTAATTCGTCTTACATATCTGAGGTCTAATTCCCCTGCTGAAATGTTATTTTTTTGGGTATTAGGCTCTTACTAACATCCACAGTGAGTTTCTTCTACATGAAATTCACTGTGTATCAATTTAAAGAGCCCGTCTTTACCCGACAGTATTCTAGCTACCCAACTACCCTCTTTGTTACCATTTAGTACTCAACCTCTCCTCAAGTCAAGAAGGTCTTGTGGCTATTCGGCTCATACATAACCATCTTTCTTATTCTGATTTGGGTACTTCTATTTATGATTTCTACTCCACTTAGAATGTGCTATTAAAATTTCTGACTTTCTTCTCATATTTATGTGCAATGCAAAGGTTATTATTTTTTTTCAGAGCACATTTAATATTTGAAAAAGAAAGCTAGTAATAACCACAGCACAGAAGATAGATATCAGGACACTAACTGTTTTGGTTTCTCTGCTGAAAACACTACTGATATTTAGAGATAAGGTTTAAGCCTATGGTTTGGGTTCCATGGCAATTTAGAAGACCTTTCCACATGTTTAAATTCAAAACAGGATGCTTTACGTCACAATTATTCAATTACTCAGACTATTAGAATATTTGAGCAAAGGTACACTAAATTTGGCAGGAGGAAATTAGTGCTATCATAAAGTACTTTGTAAATTGAGCCAACTACTTAACTTTTTTTTCCTATAAAGTAGGACAAATAGTATCGGTTCCACTTAGCGCCCCTCCCTAATTGTTGAGGCTAAAAAGGAGGACTTCATACATTAGAATCAGAAGAAATGATAGTATCATTTAGTTGAGCATTCTCAGGTTACAGATAAGAACTATGAGGTACAAAGAAGCTGAGGAATTAGAATATAGTGGAAAGAACAAGGCTTTGAGCGTGACAACCTCGTAAGTGCAAGCGCACTGTCGTTCCCTCAAAGCCAAGCCTCCAACATCTACTTAGTTGCATGGATATTTCGGCATGTAGCACAGCCCTGAAATAGTTAGTATCAACTATAGAACAAGTACTCTATACTCACAGAAGCTATGTCTTATAATCCTTCAACATTTGGGGATGACAGTATTTTAATAATAATCTACCCCAAGAAGAACAGTACCCCAAATTTATCTATTTCAACAACCTGGAAGGAATCATATTGAACAAACCCAAAAAGTATCACGTTTGAGCACTAGACTGTCAATATTCTGTTGAAAGGAAACTGATGGATATTCAAGTAAATTTGAGAATTCAGGTTAATAACCAAAAGACACACACATACCTAGAACTAGAATGAATCACAAAATAAACTCAGAAAAAAATGAAGAAATGTCATTGTTCAAATGTTGCTAAAAATCAATCAATCAATCAATCAATCAATCAATCAATCAATCAATCAATCAATCAATCAATCCTGGGGCTAGAGAGATGGCTCAGCAGCTGAGAGCATTGGCTGTTTTTGTAAAGGACCCGGATTCGAGTCCTAGCACTGCTGTTCGTGGTTCCAACTCCAGGAAATCCAATGCACTCCTCTGTCCTCCTTGGGCACTGCATGTCATGGGTGCACTTACATGCATGCAGGCATAATACTCATATACATTAAAAAAAATCCTGCCATAGTGCCAAGTATGGTGGCATACCCCTTTAATCCCAGCTAGGGGACAGAAGCAGGAAGACTGCTGTGAATTCCAGGTCAGCAGGGACTATACGGTGAGAAGATCCCGTCTCAAAAACAAAGTCATTGTGTTAGATAACCCTGGTAACTACTCATGACAGTAAATGCACGCTTTGTTTCCTAAAAAGAGGTAAGAGGATATTTCCAAAGGAGACATTGAAATCACCATCTGAAAAAGATTTAGAGTACGGACTAGGGCTACAGACCTAGGAAAGAGAAGTAAGAAGGTCAGCTGAAGAGGAAACAGCAGAAAGTGGCAGCAATTTGTGGGTGGGGTAGGTTTAATAGGAGGATGGAGGATGCTCTGCAAACTTCTGTCAAGAGTAATTAGAATAGAGATTTGGATTCAACTAACAACTTCTGAGATTTGTCTACAAGACAGGTACCAGATGCTCACATAATCCTTCAATGTTTGGGAGTGAAGATATTTTAATTATTCATCTAGGCTCACCATTATCTGCTCTTTGAGAAGCAGGATCCAAAAGTTTATATATCTGAACAACTTAGAAGGGAATCATATGTTCCCACAAGACTTACCTTACTAAAATGCTATGTTTCTTTGTTATAATTAAGTGAATTGAAAGGAGTAATACAAAACAATTCTTGTTAACAATAGGCTATGATTGATAGTTAGGTTTTAAAAGAGAAATTATGTCTCAAATCAGTTTGTTTGACAGACAATTATTCTAAGATAAAAGCCATAGAAGAAAAATAGTGAAAATGGTCTTTGGCAATACAGAAAAGGGGCTACTACAGGCAGACCACTAGCACTTCTAGCCAGCATGGCCCTGATCTACAGTTGGTGTTTAATGTTCACCTTTGGCTGAACTACCAGTGGGCAAGTTTTAACCCAATGTTCCTGTAAGAGACTAAAGAAAACATTCATACACTTACTGTGACATAAACCCAGGGGCAAATGCCCACGTGAGCTTTCCTGACAAGCAGCAGGACACAATCAACCCAAGAGTCTCATTACAGAGAACTGCAGCCAACAGTCAGCCTTGTTTCCACACTCTCTAGATTTCCATTCTGTCAAGCAGAGGTGGGAATGGAAACCAGTACGGGAGCATCCCCGTAGCCTGGGTTTCACATGATGGAAAAGCTTTGATGAATAGACATTATCTGAGAGCTTGGGCTGACTCATATATACATCCTCAAAGCCATGAGAATGGAAATAAATACCAGCTACATTCCAGGGTCCCCGTGACCAGAGTAACATAACATGAGGGCAATGTATCTTTGATATCATTGTGGATTACAGAGCTATCCAAACATATCTACACTTAACAGATTTGCCCCTGAGCAGGTTTAAAGAGCTACCACTTTTTTTGTGATCATGTCTATAAAACTACATCTTTTCTTCTCTCCTAGACCCAACCCTTAAATAAACTTCTCATCCCAGACTCAAACAGGCAGGCTCCTCTCTCTTCACCTTTTCCCTTCAGCCTTATTCTAAAGGGAATGACTTCTTGGACTGTTTTCCTCGCTTGTTTTAGGTACCGACTCCAAGCACATCGGTCTACCTACCCTTTACTATTTCTGCTACCAATCACCCCCTCGCCCCCCCGAACAACTGGTAGAAAGAAAAACCTGGTAGTTTTCTGCTAAGAAATTCCTTTTCACTATAATGGCTCTGATGGAAAGAGTGAGGAGTCAGGATAATTCTATTCAATTAGTAACATGACTTTAGGCAGAGTAACTTTTGCTTCTTAGACCCTCATTTCTTCTATTGTAGACAATGAGAGCTGGATGGTATGGTATCAGAGATTTCCAAGTGAGCTAGTCCCATGGAGTCTCCTCAGAGATTGCCAAAGAAAGAGTGGCAGCTGACAAAAGGCTTTGAACACTGCTTCTCTCATCTGGAACAGAACAGCTCTGAACTCTTGTTTTATATATGGCTTCATTCAGATTTAAGACAGGGCTTCTCAGATTTAAGGTCTAAAAACTGCTCAGTGTGGTGCTGGGCACACAACAGGCACTCAAATCATTTAAAGAGTGAACGAAAGCCAAAGGGACTGGGAGGGGAGAGCTCTAGGATCCTCCCGTTCTAGTTACTTTTCTGTTGCCATGGTAAAACTCTCTGACCAAAAGCATTGGGGTTTATTTGGCTTACGCTTCCTGATCACAGTCCATCCGCTGAAGGAAGCCAAGGCAGGAGCTGAAGGCAGTAACTTGAAGGAAAGAACTGAGGCAGAGACCATGAAGGAACACTGCCTCTGTCTTGCCTTCCCTGGCTTGCGAAGTTACTTTTTTTATAAAGCCCAGACCCACTGGCCCATGAATGGCACTGCCCACAATGTGCCAGGTCCTCCTACATCAATTAGTAATGAAGAAAATATTCCACAGACATGCCCACAGGCCAGTCTAATGGAGGAAATTCCCTAGTTGAGACTCCATCTTCCCAGATGACTCTAGCTTGTGTTAAGGTGACAAAAACTAAGCAGCACACTTCCCCACTTGCACCTCCTCTGGTTCTGTGGCTGCTACAGAATTACAGTCAAATGGGACCCCTGTGCTTGTTTGCAAAGATTGTGAGATTTCTTATGCCTTCATTCTGGGAGACAAAATATGTCCAAGGCTGATTCTAAACAATTTCCCACAGCAACTGGGTGCAAGAATCCAATAGTTAGAAACATGAAACCTCTTGGCCAAGTAGGAAAAATAAGGCCTATGCTTTAAAGGAAATCCAAAGCTGTGTCCTTACACAGCAACATGCAAATGCAAGAAAAGTGGGAAAAGGCTAATGCCATTCCATCCCCTGCAAAGACAGGTTCAAACACAAAGCAAAGGGTCAAGCTACCTACAACACTACCTTGAAAATTCTTCTGAACATCACCACCACAAACACTGCAACTTTGTATGTAATAAATTAAGGTGACTTGGACTTACTCTGTGATTTTGGGGTCCAGGTTGCCAATCCATAATCGGTGTCCTTCCTGTAGAGAGCCCTCTGAAAGGATGGATGCATTCTCCAGGGGAAGAGTTTTGGTTTCTGCTTCCATCAATCTCTATGAAATACTAAAGGCAAGTGAACATTCAGGCAGGAGAGAGGAACAATCCTATGTGAAGGAGCACCAGGTTTCACATTCAACCCAAACAACATTTATCCAAGGAAGGCATGTTCTCTGAGCAGTCCTTCAAAGGCCCCAGACCAATTACCTTGGGACAGCCCATCTGGCAGCCAGAGCTGTCATTTTAGATGAAAGAAGCATAGTTGTGTGTAGAGCCTTTAGCCTTGCTCCTATAGGAGGCCAAAGGCTCTACTACAATACAACACTTGTATTCAACGAATGTTACCCAGAAAAGTCTTGGAAAGCAACAAGAAGACAGTCTCAATGGCCTTGAAGGGAATGGGGAGTGAAGAGCAGCACAATATTTCTTTTCCTCACGGCGGCAATACAGCAAAGGAAGAGGCAGCATAAGGAATTTGTGCAAAGACCTTGGAGTTAGAACTGGATTCACAAGCAAGCTGTAGCCAGGTGTGGAGGTGCACACCTTTAATCCCAGCACTTGAAAGGCAGAGGAAGGTGGGTTTCTGTGAGTTCAAGGCCAACCCTGTCTACACTGTGATACTGTCTTCAAAAAACAGAACTAAAACTAAAGGCAAGCAAGCTGAAGGCAAAATTCTTATTGTATAAGGTTGTTGTGAAGATTAAATACATGAACTATCACTAAACATACCTTACAACAATAAGTAGTCAATATATATTAACTATGTATTATCATGTTTACTGTTTTGGTAGGGACTGGAAAAGAGATAAAATTCCTCCTTAATTATTACAATTCACCATCTGCTTATTTAGTGCAGCTTTGTGCAAGTTGATTGCTTTTTGCTTTGGTTTCCTTAGGAGGATGATTATCTCATAAATTAAAGAGATCTGCCAAGTTAATGCATTTAGAACAAAGCATAGTTCTTAGGAAGTATTTAAGACTGGCAAATTATTACTAGACTTAGTTCCTGAAGTATCTCATCTCAGAGAAGGAGAATGGGGGCTGTCACAGAAACAGTAAAGAAAAGCAGAAAGCCTAGTGCCAGAGGGCCTGGTTTCAAAGTGCTGCATTTCTGCTGGAAGCAAATTTTCTTGGTGTGGCAGTTTGTTTATTTATTTATTATTTAACTATTATTATAGAGTGTGGCATGTGATGCACATACCATGGAACACAGGTGGAGGTCAGAGGACAACTTTCAGGAGTTGGGTCTCTCATTCCACTTTGACTGGGGTCTTGGGGATCAAACTCAGGTCATCAGGCTTGTGTAGGAAGCACATTTTACCCACTGAGCCATTTCACCAGCCCAGTCTCCTCATTTAAAAAACAAACAAACAAAAACACCTTAGCTCTGCTTATAAGTTAAGGTTGCTGAGAAGATAAAGAATGAGTTGATAGATGAAAAATGAAACTAATAAATATACACTGTGATAGAGAAAAGAAAGCTTAAAGGGCTGGGAAGACAGAAGGCTATGCCTGACTTCAGACCTCCCAGCTAGAGAAAACACATGTCCTCTAGATCCAGAAATGCCTCAGAGCTTAGCCTTGCAGGAACCCTGACTTAACAGCTGACACATATGGACACTACCATTACCTCTTGTTCATCTCAGCACACCTAAAAAACCCTAGCACACCGCAGTCCCTGTTTCTTGAACATATTCGTCCATCTCCTGCACATGATGGTATTTTTCTTCCTTTCCCACTTACATCTTTAACCTGTTCAGTAATACGTAACAGGCACAAGCCATGAAACCTGAGTGAGGAGTTGAAAAGGGAGAAATGAGTAAAGCAGAAAACCACCAGAGAAAGAGCACAGTGAAAACAGGAGCAATACTTTGTCTTCTCCCTGCTTTCTTTCCCTGCAACTTTCTTACAGATCAGTCATTCAAAAGACAGTTTCAATTTTCTAGACATTGTCTAGTTAAGGATTGGGGTCAGAATAGTGAACAAAGGTCCCAGTTCCCTGTATGCTTATATTGAAAAGGGGGGGGGGCAAAAGCAGGTAATTGATGACAAACACTGTAAACAGAATGAATCACAGTAATCTGTCATGGGGTTGGACTACTTTAGAATGAGTGGAGCTGAGATCTGAATAATGGGAATTTCGCATGTTTCCATGTCTAAAAACAACAGTAACACCAAAAGATACTTAATACTGTCAAAAGATACTATGTTTCAATGGGAGGAATGCAGCATGTGGGGCCGCCGAGAGATCTGGAGTCAAATCCTGACTTTTGCACTTTATTGTGCCTTTAGTAAATTATAGTATCTCCCTTAAGATTCCTCCTGTTCACTGCCACTTTTTGTGTGTGTTAATTCTTCTGCCTCCTTGTCCATCCTGACCATCTCTGCACCATGGTTAAGTACACGGCCTGGGCACTCAGTTTACTGAGAATGAATGAAACAAGGCCTCTTCTCTTCCTTACAAAGATGCGGACCATTACTCCTCTCTCTCGCGGTTATTCTAATATACTGGTGACAGCTCTGCACAAGGCTTTTTGGGAAAGTGACATGTAATAAAACAATAAAAGATGGCCTGCGACCATCAAATCATTTGGGTTTGCAATGGCGACAACCTGGAGTACCAGCTCCCAAAATGCTGCGCCATCCATTCTCCTAGCTAAACTGCAGGAGTAAGTTATTCGGAGGCACTGAAGTCCAAAGCGCTAATTCTGAAACCCTAGCGGCGCGGTCAGGCCGTGAACCCTGGACTCCCATCCCGGGTGCGATTCCCTACTGGCGGGAGGTCATCACTGCGCTTGTTATTTCCGGGCCACAGGCAGGACAATCCGGGGCGGGGCATGAGAGCCGTAGGGCGAGGGCGACTGGCCGGGACCCGCGGCAAGGCAGGCGCTGCGGTTCAGAACTCACCTGCTGGGCTCGGCGCCGTGTCCTCCACTCATGCCCCGAGAGCAGGTCCCGACGCCGGGGTCCGAGCCAGGGCCGAGTGGACGTCCCCGCCGCCACACCGCTCGCTGTCCGGCCGCCCGTGACGCACTGCGCGTGCGCCGCGCTGCACCGCCCCGTGACGTCATGGCGCCCGCGCCTCCTCCGCCGCTACCGCCGCGGTCGCAGGCATTTTTCTCTAGTAACCTGGTGCAACCTGGTGAGTGCCCTCGAGGGGTGTCGAGGCGCGGGCGGGGTCCAGGTGCCGGAGAGCTGTCGTGAAGGACCTCTGAGGTACCCCCCCCCCCCGACCAGGGGCCAGCCTCCCACCCAGGACCCGTTCTGCTGAGTCCGGCTCGACCTGAGGCTGGGGGCGGGGCTTCCGGCCGCCTCGTGGGTCTCACGGGTGGGGGAAGGTCGTGTCACTCAACACGCGTTTAGGGAAAGCCTGGAAACTAAAATAGCCCCTGATATTTACTAGGACGTCACCGCCTTCAGCATTCCCATGATCCCGACAAGCTTTACAGATGAGATTGAAGTCACATACCTGGGAAACGCTAGAAACGGGATTGTTGCCCCGGTCATTTCTTAAGTTTGGTGTCTTCTACTTTTCCCATATTTTGGAGGGCTTGTAGTTGGAAAGGATGAAAACGTAGATCGATTCCTTCATTTTATAGTTGAGAAGATAAAACTTAGCTAAGAGAAATGATTGGTTCAATTCACTGTCATTGGTAGAGCTGCCCTATTAACTTTTTGAATGTGGGTATGTGGTTGTGACTAAAGGAGGCAGGTAGCAGGGAATAAAGAGATGGACATATTGGAATCCAGATCTCCTAGTCTTTAGAAAAGCTTTTTGTTGATGGGGTTTAGTGGCACATGCTTTTAATCCCAACACTTGGGAGACAGAGGCCAGTCTGGCCTGCATAGATTGTGTCTTTAAAAAAAAACCATTTTGACCACTTGTTAAAGCTTACCATGCCTCCTTTGGCTGTGCCAAAGACTAGAATGTATTATAGAATTGTAATTATAGAATTATAATAATTCTGTGTAGCGTCAGATTTTACAAATACCTTTCTTTACATCACACTGAATTAGGAAAAGCGCATGTCCCATCCCAATGAAAGTCTAGAAAACCAGAGCGTAGTGAAGGTGGTTTTTTAGAAGAAGAGCCTAGGACCTACCACAGGTGTAGATCCCCACTCTGGTGCCTGCATTTTGACTTTGGGCATGGATTTAATCTTTCTGGGAAGCCCAGTTACAAATTGTCACATTTGTGGGATGTTGTCTGTGCTCCTGTACTGTGCTAGGCACGGAGTGTATAGCAGGGAACAGGTAGATCTAGGAGCTAGCCTGCTAAAATCTAAGTCCTTGTAGTGCCAACAGCCACCTGGAGATATTCAGACAACAATCAAATAATTGCACAAATATTTACTTACAGTGCTCATGAAGTGATGGTTAAGCTGAAATCTGAAAGAAAGGTGGACAGTAAAGAGATGAGGGAAAGACCATTTCCAGCAGACTTAATGGAACAGGAGAGCTCATGGGGAAATGAAAGATCAGATTCTTTTGTAAAATGTATGTATTAATCAAATACAATAACACAGGAAAAGTAGTTGATATACAAGTTTGTGTTCACACTCATAAAAAAGTGTATGTTAATACACAGCTGGTTGAGGGGGATTGCTTGAACAGTGGACAGGACCTAGCTTTAGGCTCATCATTTAATTCTTCCCAAAATTAAAATGCACTTCTCTGACCATGGAAATTCAAATTTTGAGACCCTCAGCTCTGGAAAAATAATGTGTTTCAAGAAGTTTTAAAATATTTCAACTTGAGACTGGAGAGATGGCTCAGTGCTTAACAGCACATACTGCTTTTACAGCGGAACTGGTTCCAGTGCCAGCACTCATGTTGTGCAGCTTACGATTTCCTGTAACTACAGTTCCAGAGACTCTCACACCTCTGGCCTCTTATGGCATCTGCACTTATGTGCACATACCCACATACAGACAGACAAACAGACACACACACACACACACACACACACATACACACACGTAATTAAAAATCTTAAAAAATATTTCAACAATTGGAATAATGTAATAGCTACTCTTTATGTTACACTTACTGGATGCCAAACATACTGACTGTTTTATGTACATAGTATAGTATAGTTAATAGCATGGTTGCTAGAGGTAGATTGCCTGAGTTCAAATCATAGGCAATTTATTTGTGCCTCTTGTTTTCTCATTTTTAAAGGAGTACGATCATAGTACTTAGAGGGTTATTTTGAGAGTCAAATAATTAATGTATGTAGAATACTTAAGCTAGCTCCTGTTGGATAGTTACCACTACATAAACACTAGCTGTTGTCATTATTGTTATAATAGTCTTAAAAGCTCATTAATACTACCATTGTAAAGATATGGTAGAGCTAGGGGGAGTTGGAGGAAGGTGGTGGTGGATGGATTGATCAAAATACATTATAGATGCATGAAATGTTCAGAGAATAAATGAAAATATTTTTAAAAGGTTAAAGTGAAAAAAAGGTGTGGTAGAAGTTGTTGCTCAAAAAAGGTAACTGAGCTACTCAAGGTCACACATCTAGAAGTGGGGGACTGAGGTTCTGTCTAAAGCCCCGACATTCTCACAACCTTGGTTTTGTGAATAAGTTAATATTGTTGGAAAATACGTGAACTCTCATAAATTTCCTCCCTCAATTTTAATTCTTCATCTATGTTGGCCTGAATGTTAATGTTCATGTCCTTAAGGTACAAGATCCAAAGGACTGCCTTTATTGAACTCCCACTGTGAAATTTCCTGACTTCTGTACAATTAAAATTTATGCCTCAAGCATTCCAGCAATGTGGTTTATTTATAGACTTGTCTTCCGGTTCATGTGTTTTGGGTCTGCTTTTGGGTGCTGCATTTTCTGTCAAAGGTTGTTTATTTCTAACCCATTTTAGTTTCCTGTTGCTTTGTGGATTGGTATTATGACCTGTAACAGGAACTCCAGGAAACCTGTCATACCTGCAGCAGCTGGATTGAGACCCTATCAAATAAAAAGCCCAAACTACACGTTATTATACAGCCATATTTGGATATAACTGAGAGTTAGACATTGACTATATTAGGCAGCAACCTAGATTTAGAAACATCACTCAGAGCCAAACTTTTGTGAATACTTCATAGAGTTGTACTATTAGTTCCATGTTCTTGGATGGTGACTTAATCCCTCTGAGCCTCAGTTTCAACGTCTGTAAAGTGGGGATTATTATGCTTCATTTGTGGCATTATTGGCAGGACAAAATGAAATAATACAAGTAAAGCCAGCAGCCCAGTCCTGGCCCCAGTGAAAGTACCTGTTGATAATAATTAAAGAAGAGGAAAAAACCTTCAATTTCCATCTGGATCTGTTTTGTGTAGACTTCACACACTGATTACTCATACCCAACATTGCTTGATATTAAAAATTCCATCAAGAAAAACTATTTGCCTTTGCAGTATTCATTTTCTTTCTTTTTTCTTTTTTGTTATTTTTTTGAGACAGGGTCCCATGTACCTCAGGCTAACTTCTTACTTGCTATGTAGCTGAGAATGACCTTGAACTCTAGCTCCTCCTTCCCCCTTTTCCCAACTTCTGGGATTATAGGCATGTACTGCCACACCTGGCTGTTTTGTATTATTTATTTTCTTTTCATTATATATATATATATATATATATATAAATGGTGACTGAGCATGGTAGCACATGCCTTTAATCTTACTATTTGGAGGCAGAGGCAGGTAAGTCTCTGCAAGTTCTAGAGCAACCTGGTCTCCTTAGTGAGTGCCAGGTTAGCCAGGCTGCATAGTGAGACCCTGTCTAAATTAAAAAAAAAAAATTTTTAAGTAATGGCAGTCATAGTAATCAAATGTTTTAAGCAGTTATTCCATTCCAGGCACCATATTAAGTGTCTTATATGCATTCACGATTTCATTTTAAAATGAGCGATATTTTTCTCGATGTGGAAAGAATGAATTGCCTGAAGTAGAAATTGGCATCCATGTCCAACTGAATCTACGTCACTTTACACGTCAATACTGACATGTGTGCAAGATCTCTTTGTTGGATCTGACTCTGGCATGGAAGTCTTTGAAAGGAAAGGTGGTAGCTATCAGTTGACATGATTTTTTGTGTCCTTGTCTGCTGGTCACCATGCGAAGTGTTTACCTGCCTAGCCTCATTCCCAACTTTTAGAAGCAAGTATTCCCATTTTACAGATTCTCAGGTGCATTAGTGGTAGAGCTGGGATTGGATTTCAGGTCTTCATGACTGTGGGACTCATACTGTTATTCACTGTATTCACTGTATTCCCAGCTGGCCTGGAGCTCTCTGTGTAGACAAGGCTGGCCTCAATTTCATAGAGATCCATCAGCCTCTGCCTCTTGAGTGCTGGGATTAAAGGCACATGCCACCATGCCTGGCTAGGTTTTTTTTTTTTTTTTAAAAAAAAAAAGAAAAATGTGATATTGCTTCTAGACCCTTGACACTAGTTATTCTTAATGTTTAGCTGAGTGACAGTCAGATTCTTAGTGGAAGCTATTAATGTTAACATTTGTTAGCTAGCACTGTTCTGTCACAGAGGTAGTTGGAAGCAGTAGCATCTTTGCATGGCCAAAGACCTCAGAAGTGTGTGCGTCCTGTGTTAGCAATGGGTGGTGACATTTCTGAAGTATCAGTTCTATGCCCAAACCTTAATCATGCCTTAGACTCACATTAAAGTACATTCTAATTGGTAATCAGTGTATAAAGAACCAAAGAAAATTTTAATTAAATGCTGCCATATAAATTTTCTAGTCATTTTATGCCTGTTGCAGTGTTATTCTTATTTAAAATCCCTTTCTGGTGCTCTGCCCTTCCTCTTTAAGCTTTATCAAGATTTTGTGCTTTTCTTCATATCAGGGTTTAATTAGCATCATTTCAGATTTAGGCTGCTGCCCATTGGTTTCACAGAGGCATTTGGATGCTCTGAAGGAACTCAACACACTGGGTGAGTTACTTGTCTCTGTGAACCTCAGTCTCTTCATCCTGTAAAATGAGGGTAATAGTTCTTTCTGAAGCTACTGGAAAGAGGATTAGAGCAACATGTTTCAATTGGCAAGTACAGAGCTCACACTATAGGAGTTGCTTGGTATTGGGATGAATTGTTTTCAGAAGTTTCTGTGGGATTTCTGTTGCTTACATCTCCTTTTTGTTTTACTCTTTTTAGTGGATATTCCCAAGGAGTCTCTTCAGTTATGGCTTTGGGATTAAAGTGTTTCCGCCTGATCCACCCTGCTTTTTGCAGTTACCTTGCTACTTTGACCAGACCTGTTTCAGAAATGTCCATGAAGATAGTGAATGGAAGACAGCAGGACCATAGGCAGCACACAGCCTATGCGGGTGTACCGGTTCGCCATTTTGCAACCAAGAAAGCCAAAGGTAGAGACTTTGGATGCTCTTCTTCCTATCCTTGCCACTTTCTCATATTTGGCCCTTGAATAATCATAGCTTGCAGGGATCTCAGAGATGCACTGAATTTCCTTCCTTGTTCACATGAGGAAATGGTATCTCAGACAGTTCAATTGCTTAAGCTTAAAAGGTCATAGTAACAGCAGGGAGTGTTGGCACACATCTCTAATCCTGGCACTTGGGAGGCAGAACTCTGTAATTGTTGGAACCTACGGCTTCTTTTGTTACTGTGCCACCTCATTTATTTTCTTGATGCCTCAGAAAATGCCCAATTTCTTCCTTTTAGATACAGAATTAGAGGTGTAAGTGCCAAGCTAGCTAGAGTGCTTGTGACAGGGATCAACATAGTCTCTCCTTTAGGAAGATACAGGTTGGGGGTATAATTAAAGCCAGAAGGTTTTTGGATGAAGAGGTATTAGAGCTGTGGATTTAGATGGATGATCTTAATGGCTTATGTCATCCAAGAATGAGATTTTGATATACCACAGGCCTCAGCTTAAATGCCACTTCCTCAGAGAAGCCTTACCTGACCTCTGAGACTCTGTCAAGTCCCCTGTTACCTGCACTCGTGCACACTATTTTACTTTTGACACACTTAGAACAACAATAATTAATTAATGAATCAGTTGTAAAATTGATTATTGTTTGTTCCCTGTTTGCCATATTTGACCTGATGAGGACAGAGCCTCTGTGTTTGTTGTTTAGCACACACCAGAGCCTCACATTCAGATTCAGAAACTGTTAGATGAGTGAATGACAGAAAATGATCAGGCAGACCACCTATCTGCAGCATTGTGTCAGGTAGTGCTAGAAGCACGCTGCTGAATATTCCCATCAACTTCCCTTTTCTGCTTTCATGTAGACTGTCTCCTTTATGTTTTATGGAAAATTAACACGTTGCTGAAAGAAAATCAGTGCTTAGAAGACATATTCTGTTAATGGTGATAACTGTAATGTTTGATCTCTATGTTGTATTTTAGTTCTTAAAGCTCTCACACATTTATTAATCCAATCTTTATTTTACTTATTTTTTACTTTTCCAATCCATGAACAAAATTTCCAGTGAAGAAATCCTTATAATTATATAATGAATACATGTTTAGCAATTTTGCAAGTATAGAAGCTAAAGTTCATTTGCTAAAAAATTTGCCCATGGTCTTAAAAATTTGCAGTGCTGGAAGAATGGGAAACCTGATGCTGCAGTGCTACCGTCTCTAGACACTAACTAGTAACTATGGCCTGTAGGCCTTCTTTGGTTGCCTCCTTAATAAATTGATTGTTTACTGTCTCTTAGATTTATTGGAATTTTTCTACAATAGGGATGCTAATGTCTGGTTGACTCTTGCAATAATTTTTACGGTGTCTTTGTTGAATGTAATTTTTTTTTTTTTTTTGGGACACAGTCTCCCTGTAGCTCCAGCTGGCCTGGAACTCACTTTGTAGATCAGGCGGGCCTTGAACTCAAAAAGATCAGCCTGCCTCTGCCTCCTAAGTTCTGGGATTAAAGGTCTGTGCTACCACGCCCTGCTGAATGTAAATTTTAATGTCATAATTTTCAGTTCTTTCTACTTTATGTATCTTTTCCAAGAAATCCTTCCTATCCCAAGGTAATTTATTTCTGAATATGGTATGAGTTAAGAATTCTAATTTTAGCTGGGAGTGGTGGCATATGCTTTTAATCCCAGCACTTGGGAGGCAGAGGCAGGCAGATCTCTGTGAGCCCTAGGCCAGCCTGGTCTACATACTGAGTAAAAAAAAAAAGAATTCTAATTGTAGAGCTGATTGTGGTGGTTCACACCTGTAATCCCAGCACTTGAGAGACTAAAGCAGAAGAACTTCTGCTAGTTTAGGCTAGTCTGGTTTGCATAGTGAGTTTTGGACTAGCCTGGTCTACAGAGAGACCTTATCTGAAAAAAAAAAAAAAGCTAGTTTAGGCTTCTTTTCAATATGAGCCATAAGCTGTGCTGCCATCTCTTGTAATCCATCCATATTGTCGATGACTCCTGTGTTCTATGTCAAGTTCCCTTGTCTGTATGATTTGTTGAACTAATTTCTTTCTGCACTAAATTCCTTACTGCCAGGATCACTGTCATAAAATCTTGAATCTAGTGGTATAAATCTTTGTTGACTTTTTACTATTCTATGTGACATTTACTAATTATTAATCATATATCAACTTTTTTGGAAAGATTTTCATTAAATCAGGTTTATTTCTGGGTTATTATAGCATTATTATATCATTATGTGATATATTCATAATTTATATTGAGTTGTAACATATACAGACAGGTATATACCTAAGTTGTTAAATGTATGGCTCTGGAATTTTACAAAATGCATACAACTATGTAACCATATCCTAGATCAAGAAATGAAATATAAGCCAGGTGTGGTAGTGCACACCTTTTATCCCAGCACTAGGGGAGTGGAGGCAGGTGGAGCTCTGTGAGTTCAAGGCCATCCTGGTCTACATAGTGAATTCTAGGACAACCCAAGGTATGTAGTGAGGTCTTGTCTGAAAAAGACAAAAAAGAAAGAATGTAGCAGGGTATGGTGGCTTACACCTGCAACCCGAGCACTTGGGACACAGAGGAAGGAGGATCACTGCAAGTTCCGGGCCAGCCAGGGCTGCACAGTGAGACCCTGTCTCAGAAACACACAGAAAACAACTTATATAACAAAAGTTATAACAATATTTTTAAAAAGTGAAGAAAGAGGAAAATGTCAGTTTTACTCTGGAAGTTTCCCTACTATTCAGTCTTTAACACCGTAGAGTAGTTCTGTTCTTTTTGAATTCCCTGGATTCTTTTCTGTTTGGCTTATTTTGGTAAGTTTCCTTGTGAGACTCTTCCATGTTGTATATGTAAGAATTGCCCATGTGCTTTTGTTTCTTTAGAGTATTCTACTGAATGCTTGCATTACAATTTTATATCACAATTTATGTAAAGGGACATTTGAGTTGCTTCCAGTTTTGAGTTTAACTAGTAGTGTTGTTAAGATATGAGCATTCTTGTACATGTGTTTTAGTGCACATACATGCACATATATTCCCTACTCTCCCCTCCTCCCTACTTTGTCCCCTTCCCTCCACTGGATTATCAAGGAACTCTAGTCTAATGTGAATAAATGTGATTGGTAGGAATAGACATCCTTTGTTTAATCCTGACTTTATAGAGAATGTCCTGTAACTGTGGTGAGTCACCTGTCCTCTAGATCAAGGAGGCCATGGAGACCCCACCAGATGGACTTGAACCAGTGTCTGGTCTACAAAGAGGAGGGTCAACACAGAGGAATCATTTCCTCCATGCTTCCAAGTGAAGCCAGCCATGGTTGAGTAGGACTTTTGACTTACCTTCACACAGACAGAACTGGTAAAAGAAAGGAGCCAGGGGCTCCTCCCAAGCCCATGGGGCCCCTGAGGAATAAATCCTCAAACGACCTTAAGACTAAAAAGAAATTGGTTTATTTGGGCCAACTGTGTGGCCTTAAACACCCAAAAGGAAAGTGTAACAAAAGATTAAAGGGGCCAATATAATTTTCTAACAGTCCATATATATAGCTAAAGGCTACTGTTGGCCAGGGTGTCCCAAGAGGCTCCCAGACAGTAACCCAGCATAGAACTGGGAAAATGAACAGCAGACCCCAATCTTATTTAAAGAAATATTTGCAACTGAATGTTGCTAGATGAGGAAGAGCTGATCGTCCTAAAACAAGGATCCCTAGATAGGCTGACTATATTCAGTGGATGGACAAGCACTGGGGAATGGCTGGGGGCACTGACAACACAGTGGACAGTAACAGGGATGACAGAGTATATGGGCTCCAGTAGGGGGCCAGGGGGCAGGCTATGGGAGGGTGCCGTTTTGGAAGTGGGTATACAGATGAATAAGATTGTTTGGGATGTTCTGTATGATATACCAACAAAAAAATCAACAAATAAAAAAATGAGTTATATTTGAGGTGGAAGCATAAAAATTTACTTCATGTTAATTAGTAGCAGTGATCAACATTACTATTGAAATCTACGTGATGACTTTCTATCCATACTCAGGTGCCAAGTATCCAAGTGTCACCGACTGTGACTAGTAGTAATTAGATACATAGAGATTAGAGACACATGTGCAAACATCTAAGTGTTAGCATTAAAAATGAGTCTTTCTGTAGGAAATAGTATATTTTAAAATGAAATGGAGATCTTTTTTAAAGGGTAAAAACTTATTTAAATTTTATGTCTTACAGGGTTTATACTGAGTTCAGTATTGTATAACTGTATTAATTCAACTGTGAACCTAACAATTTATACCCACTTTTGAAAGAGATGTATGTTTGCTCTGGAAATTGTTATTGAATATGTTAAAGCTGTAATGAAATGCTTCTAATCATGTGGTTATTAAATTAAAAAAAAGCTTAAAAAAGATTTATTTATTTTTATTTTATGTGTATGAGTATTTTGCCTGCATGTATGTAAGTGCACTCATGTCGTGCAATGCCCATGGAGGTCAGAAGAGGGTGTAGGATCCCCTGAAACTTGAGTTTCATGTGGGTGCTGGGAACCAAACATGGATCCTCCCCAAGATCAGCCAGTGCTCATAACCACTGAGCCATCTCTCCAGCTCCTATGGAGAATACTTCTTATATGTTCCTACAAAGAATATAAATATAAAAAGTATAAAGAATTATATTTCCTGCTGGGTGTGGTGGTGCATGCCTTTAACCCCTGCACTTGGGAGGCAGAGGCAGATGGATCTCTGAGTTCGAGGCCAGCCTGGTCTACATAGTGAGTTCCAGGTCAGCTGGGGCTACAGCGGGACCCTGTCTCAAAAAGACCAAAAGAAAAAAAAAAGTTTTAATAGAAGCTGGGTGTGGTGGTGCATGCCTTTGATCCCAGCCCTCGGGAGGCAGAGGCAGGCAGATCTCTGTGAGTTCAAAGCCAGCCTGGTCTACATAGTACGTTCCAGGCCAGCTGGGGCTACAGGGAGACCCTGTATCAAAAAAAAAAAAAAAAGACCAACCCCCCCCCAAAACTTTTAATGTTGTTGATCTCTCTTTTTATTTTGTTGATTTCTGTTGTATGTCACTTGCTTTGTCTTTTGTACTCATTCTTTTTCTGTCCTAATTGTGTTTATCTAATTTTCTATTTTATCTTTTTATTTGCTCTTGGTTATCAAAAAAAGATGTGTTAAAGTCTTCTAGTGTGATTGTAGATTGAACAGTTTCTCCTTTTAATTTAATTTTATTTTAAAAATTTTATTTATTCATTTTTATTTTATGAGTCTTTTGCCTGCATGAATGAAAGTACACTTGTGTCATGCAGTGCCTGTGGAAGCCAGGAGAGGGTGTTAGATCCCTGGAACTGGAGTATGGACAGTTGTTAGCTGCCATGTGGGTACTGGGAATGGAACCTGGGTCCTCTGCAAGAGGAACTAGTGCTCTTAACTTCTGAGCCATCTCTCCAGCCCTTCCTTTTAATTTTAATTTTGAGACTACCTTACAGACATATTTAAGCTTGGAATTGTTATTTATCTGCTTATATTTTAAAGTGGCCCTCATTTCTTTTTAAATATTTATATTTTTATTTTATGTGTATGAATGTAGTACCTGCAAGTAGGTAGGTGCACCATGTCGTGCAATGCCCACAGAGGTCAGAAGAGGATGTCGGTCGGATCCCCTGGAACTGGAATTATGAATGGTTGTTAACCACCATACGGGTGCTGGGAATCGAGCTCCAGTCCTCTGCAGGAGCAGCCAGTGCTCTTACCTGCTGACCATCTCTCCAGCCTGGCCCTCATTTCTGATAACACATCTTAAAATCTTATTTTCTTTTTTTCTTGATATTACTGCAGTAACAATGTCCTTCCTTTGCCATGCTTGTGCATTTTTTAAAAATCCATTAAACATGTTATCTCATATATTTATAAAAATCTCTGATATGTTGTGTATAATTAAGTTAATGTCCTGCAGAGAACCTTGAACTTTAACCTAGTCATTTTGGCTCATTTACATTTATTGTTTTTGTTGAATATTTACATTTTTATTTTATTTTGTACACTGTTATGGATTTTTCTTCTTTTCTTTCTCTTAAGATAATCAAGTTTATTTCTTTTTCATTTTTGCTGATTTACAAACTATGTCTACCATCTGTCTTTACTTTGATAGTTATTCTTAATCATTTTAAACCTTTTTACAGAAATTTTAAAAAGTATTATAGAAAAACACAGCTGTCAAAAGAATACAGCTTACAAATGGTCACAAACTGAAATCACTTGTGTAATGAATGCTTTTCACTGCCTCCACAATCAGCAAATGGTGTGTGGTGGCATGTGTCTGTAATCCTAGCCCTCAGGAGGCTGAGGCAGAAGGATCACTAGTTTGGAGGCAGCCTGAGGGACATAGCAAGGTGTTTTTTAAACGACAGGGACTAGGGATGTAACTCAGTTGTAGAGGAATAAAAGGTATTTTATTTATTATTTTTATTTTATGTGTGTGACTGTATTGCCTGCATGTATGTTAGTGCACGCATGTTGTACAGTGCCCATAGGGGTCAGAAGAGGGCATTAAATCCTCTGGAACTAGAGTTATGGGTGAATGTTAGGCACCCTGTAGGTGATGGGAACTGAACACAGGTCCTCTGCAAAAACAGGTAGAGCTCTTAACCTCTGAGCCATCTACCTCTCCAGCTCCAGTGGTAAAGCAGTTTGGCCCTGGGTTTGAATATCCCTAGTACATCAAAGTCCCCTTTCCATTCCCATCTAGTAAGTATCTCCTCTACTCCTACCCCTTGCAGGTAATTATTATTCTGACTTCTGATTGCATGTATTAGTTTTGTCTGTTTTTATACTATTCAGGATATATTCTAGTGTGTGGCTTTTTTACTCTATAGTTTGTGTTTTTACATCTGACTTCTTTGTTCAACATGTAATTTTGATCCTTTATGGATAATTTGTCTTTTACCTTTAGCTTTGAAAAAGATTTATTTTTATTTTATGTGTATGAGTGTTTTGCCTGCATGTATATAAGTGTACTATGTGTGTGCAGTGCCATTAGAGGCCAGAAGAGAGTTTCGGATCCCCTGGAACTAGAGATGGTTGTGAGCTGCTATGTGGGTTCTGGGAACTGAACCTGGGTCCTCTGTTTAGGGTGGAGAGATGGCTCCATGGTTAAGAACACTGTTCTTGCAGAAGACCCGGGTTCGAATCCCAGCACCCACATGACAGCTGAGGCATAACACTCATACACATAAAATAAAAATAATAAAATATTAAAAAAAGCCCAAAGATACTATTTAAATGTTTTCTTTCTTTTTTCCTTTCACATTCCCATAAAGAAATACAAGAATATTTGTATAACATACACACCGCAGAATGGATATTGAAAAACACTGATGATTTAGATGTGAAATCAAATTCCATTCATCTTCCAACACTGTTGATTTTCTGACATACAAGTCATTGTCACTGTCCTGGGTAGTGTTTAATGTCTCTGCTCCTCTTTGCATTAGCCATACAACACTGCGCATAACTGCCTTAGTATTTGTTTTAAACTGAATTAATATATTTCCTCTCTTTCCAATTAGATTTGTGGAGATGGTCTTATGGAAAGTTCATGGGTTTAAAATTAGACAGCTCTGGGACCAAATCTTGACTTTACCATTTCCTGACTTGTGACATTAGGCAAGTCACTTTACCTTTCTTGTCTGTTGTTTATTTTTTCTGAATTCATTTATGGAGTCCCTGCCATATGTACAGTGCTGTTTTGGATGCTTGAATGATTTAATTTGTATTCTTGTAGCAACCTTACAATACAGATTTTAGTATTCCTCTTGTACAAGTGAGGAACTGGATACTCAAAAAGATAGAGTAACTTGCCCAAGGTCATAAAGCTAATGTGCATTGCAACCAAGTTTTAACCCAGAGTGTCTAATTATAAAGCCTGGGCCCTTACTAATGTCTGAGAAAGGACTCAGCACAATGTTGGGTGCCTGGTTGATGCCCAGTAAATATGAGCTAGTGGCTAAGGCAGAGAGAATGTTTATGAGGTTCTAGCACTTGACATTTGCCCTGCACACAGCACATACTTTTAAAAACCAGTGCTTATTATCTCTGTTTATGTTGATGCTCTTTTATTCACTGAATGTTGACTTTCTAGCTAAAGGGAAAGGACAGTCCCAAGCCAGAGTGAATATTAACACAGCCTTGGTTGAAGATATAATCAGCTTGGAAGAGGTGGATGAAGAAATGAAGTCTGTGATGGAAGCTCTCAAGGATAACTTCAATAAAACTCTAAACTTACGGACCTCACCAGGTTAGTGACTGACCCACTGTTTCAGGGAGTGGTGTAGTGGAAGAGAGAATAGCCCTAGCAGAGGTTCAGTCCAGCTCTGCTGTGACTAACTGGTGTCTCTGCTGCTACTGTTTGGTAACTGAGGAGCTTCCCTGTTTGGCCTATTGGATACTTTTAATAAATGACGTAGCATGTTTAATGGTTCTGACACATACTGAGCACTGCATGTGTCCATTAAGCAGCTCTCTTATGAACTAGGTATTGTACTTAGCCCATAATGAACTGAGCACAGCAGTGAACAAAAATGGTCAAGATCGTCACTCTTGTGGAATTATACTCTCAAAAAATAGTTTTGTTATGAATGAGTGCTATAAACACATCTAGATATTTGGACTTGTTGCCCTGACATCTTTGGTCTGCTTTTTCCACTCTGTCCTATTTGGCAGTTCTTGTACTGAAAACCAAATGCTGCTGACTTGCCCACCTGAGGCCTTTCTGTACCCATGAGCTTGACCAGGAAGATTCCGTTTAGGTTAATAGCTTCCTGAAAGTGGCTTTTTTAAGTGGGAAATGTCAGAACTGTCTAGGAGAACTGTTTGCAGATGTGATGGAGAAGTGAGTTGTCAGCTAATGGTGCAAGCAAGCAGGAAAAATCCAATTGCGGTTAAATTGGCCCTTTGCAAATTGTCATCGTCCTACAGTTAAGCCTAGGACCCCCTCTGAAGGTATTTGTAGGGGCTTCGACCGCTCCCACTCACACTTTGATTGGGGAAGTTCATAAGGAAAATAGAAAATATTTTATGAACTTTTTTTTGTGAAAAATACATGTTCCATTATAAGAACTATCAGAGCCACACAGTTCAGAGATGAGATCTGGTGTGAAATGGAAGACTGTTCCCGGCATTTGTTAACCTTTGGACTGGGGCATTTCTGCCTTCGCTGACAGTAAAGCATGCCATTCAATCTTTCCCAACTGTTTATTTTAAGCTTGCTTATTATTTTAGGTATGAAACTGATAAAGTGCTCTGTCTCCCCTGTGCTTTCTGGCCTGTTAACATTCTACAGCCGAAACCAGAGAGCAGTTTGAGAGGAGCTCGGGGAGAAATGTGATACTTAAAATTAGCCAGCAAGCTCCACTCTTGTTGAACTTAAAAAGATGATGGGCTTGGAAAGAGGTTGGGAGTGTAATTTGTTAAATGTTAACCTCTGAGAAAATGAGGGGCAGGAGTGAGGCTGAGGGAGATTCTCACTGGGGACAGATTGAGGGAAAAGGATTTGATGCATTATGTCGATATGGATTTAGGGGATGGGAACCACCACAATTGCACACTGAAATGCCCATGTGGAGACTTCCATGGCGAAGGATCTTATGGCAAATCAGGAAGGCTGAGTTAAGATCCGTTTTCAGCAGGCCTCCCCTTGGTATTTCCTCTTTCCTTCTTTTCTTTGGGTTGTGTTTGTGTAATGTTCTGTGTAGAACTTGGGGCTGTGAAGAAATTGGATGAAGCAGGCGAAACAGCCAGACCCTTTTGCTAGATAGGTTTTTTCATATCATCTTTAATTATTACCTGAACTTCAAACACCTTTCTTCTTCTACATCTGCCTAAAGTTTTGTTTTGAAGATATCTGACACCTTTTAACTGTTGTTTAAAATGAAGGAATGCTTTTTCCTTCTTGCCCTGTTTCCCTTCCATTCATCATCCATCTATTAATTTGTTACCATTCACTTTATTCACCATAGAATTACTGAGCACTTACTTTGTGCTAATTACTAGGTGCTTTGGACATGGAGAGGAAAGATCTGGTCCCTACCTTAACCTAGTATGAAAGTGCAGATAGTAAGCCGATGTGTATAAAACCATGTAACCCTGTAGACTGGTGAAGACATGGCTTCGAGATGCCAGACCTGGGCTTGAATTTAGGTTCTGTTATTAAGAGCTCTTGCAATCTTGGGCAAGTAGCTCTGCATGCCTCTGTTTCCTCATCTGTAAAATGGTAGACGTAATAATAACCATCGTGTAGGATAATTGTGATAATGAAAGCAAGTAAGTAAAAAGGAAGTATTAAAGGAGGTATTTGGTCAGTTTGAGTAGAGTGTCATTGAAGTGTGCATAGGACCCTTGGAGGCACGTAAGAAGGATCTCTAATCAACTGAGGAGGTAGACAAGATTTCTGAGATCAGACGCTACTATAGCTGAGCTTTACAGAGGGAGTGAGAATTATCTGGGCAGATTTCCAATAGGAAAATTATATGCAAAGGTCCTGAGGCACATGAGAACAGTGTATTAGAGATATTATAAGTGCATTTGCTTTGTTAAAACATAGAAAAAGGCAAGAAATAATAGCAATATTTAGACATAGTTACAAGTGCTTTTCATATACTTTTTTATTTAATCCTCATAAAATATCCTGTAAGTACAATTTTTTATGTCTCATTTAGAGATCAGAAAACAGGCCCATAAGGTTGAAGGAATCTACCCAAGGTTTCACAATTTGGAAGTGATAGAATTGATATTTGAATTCATGTCCTTGGTCTTTAGAACCAGTGAGTTTTTATCATTATATTAGGTTGCCTATACTTTTCCAGATTGAAGTGCATGGTATCAACAGCTGTCTGCAGTCTTACTATGACACTGAATCTGGTGAATACTTAAAATCAGACCTGTGGGCCATAATATGGTACTTCATTGTCTAATAATATATTGTCAGCATAGCTTCGGTTTATTTGAAAGATGCCTCTCTTAACTGCCCCCCCCCCCCATTTCTCTTTGTGTCTCAGAATGAGCCATGCATGAGTGGTTCCTACTGTGCGTGGTAAGCGTTTTCTGCTAGATTCATTTGCATAGGAAATTAGGGAGTTTGAATAATGTCCTGTCTATAGCTATGGATTTATTGTACCTTTTTTGGTTTCTGAAAATTTTGCTCAGGATTTTCCATAATTCAGGTATGGAAAAGATCAGATGTAGGATAGCAGTGAAGCTTTAATAGTTTTTCTTTGTTTTAGTGGACTTGTTTCTGAAGGGTGTCTCAGCACCAAAGGGTGATAAAAGTAGTTCTAATCCTGCTGTGTGCCAGAATTGTATGCTGAATTAAAAAGAATACTACATGCTTTCCAAGATTCAGAGGCTCCTAAGCATCTACAGAATCAGGATCTCTAGGGGGTGGGGTCTAAGAATAAATTTAAATCCCTGATGATTTTGATGCACAATTCTACTTAGAGAAGGGGAAGTACTGCGATTGAATCGGAATTGAACACACCTGAGTTTGGCTATTGGCTCTTGATTAGTTTTTCTGTTAGCTCTGTGTCTTGGCCCATTCATCCTTCTCAAGTCTCATTTTCTCACCTCAGTAAAGTGATGGTAGTAATAAGAATGTGCAGGGTAGGATGGTTGTAAGAACTAAGGGGAATAAGAAGAGGTGACTTATGAGTGTTTTTTTTTGTATATGCTATGTAGGCCATTTATATTTAGCTATAATCCTTTAGTTACAGTCATCACTTTAATTCTGTAGGTAGTTTTTAAAAAAATATTTATTATTTTATGTGTATGAGTGTATTGCCTGCATGTGTGTAAGTGCACCCATGTTGTGCAGTGCCCATGGAGGTCAGAAGAGGGTGTCAGATTCCCTGGAACTGGAGTTATAGAGGGTTGTTAGCCACCATGTGGGTGCTGGGAATTGAACCCCAGGTCCTCTGCAAGAGCAGCCAGTGTTCTTAACCACTGAGCCATCTCTCTAGCCTCGGTAGTTTCTTTTTAACTAAGTTGGGAACTATAGCACAAAGAAAGGTAAGTGCTTGGTTAGAGGTTTCATAGCTACTAAATGCACAGTTGCTCAAGGGGTATCAGTGCTTTTCAGTTTCAGTTCCAAAGTCCTGTGTCATAGGAAAGGCTTTTTAAATCTAGGCAAACTGGAATGGTTGCCCATCATAGTTGCTAGTAAGGAATTTCAACCATGTTCTGCCAGTGCTTGTTGCTAGCTCTCCCCACTGCATGGCACTGCTCTGATGCACAGCCTGTGTCACACTGGTGAGGAATCCCTGAATGTTTGTTAAATATGAATTAGATTGAGACTTAGATTTGGTGCTTTTAAGGTCCTTTAGAATTTTAAAACCTTACTCATTTTTTCTTTTAGGATCCCTTGATCATATTGCTGTAGTAACTGCTGATGGGAAGCTTGCTTTAAACCAGATTGGCCAGATCTCCATGAAGTCACCACAATTGATTTTGGTGAATATGGCCAGCTTTCCAGAGGTAAGGTGGGCTTGCTTGAAGGGTCCCTCTCCACAGTCTTTGTTGGAATAAAGGAGGTTTGGTTTGGTCAGAAACAAATGTTCCTTTCAGCTTGGGAAGAAGTTTACTAAAAGGAATTTAAGGATAAGGAAAACTCTCTTATCTCTAAATCTCTTTCCTGTTAAGCTCAACTGTTATAGTGACCAAGAAAATAATTTAAAAAACAGTAATGAAGAGGTAGTAATTGGCTCTTGGCCGGTGGTGGTAGAGCAGTGTATGGCTCTGATAACCTGGAAAGCATGTGCCCTATCTGTAGAGGGCACCTCTACTCAGCTCTTGCTGATCATTGCCTGAGGGGAAATGTAGGCCTGGTAATTAGTGTTAACAGATACTGATTTTATTTCCAGAAGAAACTGGTAACCCAGAATTTTGTGTGAGGTCTTCTTTGTTCTCTAATTATCTTGACTAATTCACTTTCTGTTTTAAAGCTATGAGCAGCAGGAGTACCAACATGTGCTTGTTACCTTGGCACTTGGGAGGTGGATGCAGGGGGATCAGGAGTTCAAGGCCTGTCTCAAAAACAGGCAGAAAGATCCTTGAGATAAATAAAACATGTCAATGGGCCAGATATGGTCTGAGGGCCACCAGCTTATAGCTTCTCTATCAGTATTTAGAGTAGACCCTCCAGGAATTCACACTCCTTCAAACTACCTGTAACATGGTGCTTTGGAGACTGGAATATGAGTTGACTCAAATCATTGTGGCCTTGAGGCTATATGATTTTAATTGTAGCTAAGGAAGATAATTGGACCTTTCTTTATTAAAATCACCTAGATCAAGACTGAAATCTAGTCCCATCTCTGCCTTCAACTGTTTGACCTTTGGCAAGTTACTTCACTCTGTGGGCCTCCATTTCCTCATTTGTTAACATGCAGTGAGGAACATGTTCTGATTGTCTGTTTTCGTACTACTGTCCCAGCGACATACCAAGTAGGCTGTGTGTTGGACTTGACAAAGTAGGTTAGCAGTAGTAGGAGGAACCCCTTGCTCTGAACAAACTGTTTCAAATCAGACTCCTGTAAGTGATGTGCTAGGCACACTTCTGGAGTTGCTCTTACTTAATCACTGCCCCACTCTGCTTTCTGTCCTGCAGCCACAGTGGATTTTAAAATCATTCTCATGCTTTAGATGATCTTTAAGAAATGAAATCCCCAAGTTTTTACTGTGCCCTGGAAGGCTTTGCATGATCTGGCCTCTGCCTGCTTCTACTCTTGGCAGTCTTGTGGAACTACCTTCCTTGTACACTGCCCTACTCACACTGGCCTTAAAGTTCTTTAAGCACACCAAGACTTTGCATCCTCTGAGCCTTTGTATGTGCCATTCCTGTGACTTGGAATACTTTGGCAATTTGCTCCTCCTCCCAAAAGGATCACACCTTTGATGTCACTTTTCTATCTTACTTTCACTGGATTGTAAGCTTGGGGTAGAAGACTGAGATATAGCTTATTCATTGTTCTAGCACCAAACACAATGCCTAGCACATGGAAGCACTCCATGCACTGTCCTTGAACTGGTGAGTACTTGTCATTGGGTTGATGAAAGGCAAGCATTCATTCATGGCATTACTTTGGAGCAGAGAAATGGATGAAGACGGAACTGTCACTCCCTTCCCTTACTGGCCCCTCTGAACCACTGAGGCCTCTCTGCCTTGTTCATCTAATCCCAAAGGCACTGTAGGCCAATTTATGGAATAGCCTCCTAATTACACAGCTTGAAGACTTCATCAGGCAGATTGCTTTTCAGAGCCAGCCACTTCTGTTATTAAATAGCAAATGGTATTCACAGAAGAAGCACCTGATTGGCCACCAGAGCATCTCTTATGAGGCAGGAGGAGGTATTAACAGCTTAATTTTTTCTTAGGAAGTTTGAGTATATTTTCATCTTTCAACTAAAGTATCTTTGCCATTTCTCCAGTGTGAGTTTTACAAAAAGCTTAACCAGCATCTCAGTAAAGGGCTTCGTTTATAGGCACTGAGTGAGGAAGTGTGAGTTACATTGTCTTTTGCATCTCTTTATCTCATCTGGTATATATATTAAACAAACAGCTCTAACTAAACATTTCCTTTCTCCAGCTTTAGAAGCTGTCCATAGAGTCTCAAGGTTCAGAGCTTCAAAATGCTGAGCTAATCCTGCCTGTGTTTATAGAATTCCTTTCTGTTTCACGTGCAGTTGGCTTTCTGTCCAACCCTGAGCATTTTTGTGTCATGCTGTAGTGACACAATGCAGATTTACATGCATAATCTTTTCAAATGCATGAAGACAGAAAACTGTGTCGCATTTGTTTTAACATGTATCCTGCTTGATAGATGATATCTGCAGTTGCCCCCTTCCCTACATGTGCTTGAAGCTAGAGTCAGTGATGAGAAAGAAAAGAAGGGAAGAAAAACTATAGTATCATTTGAACAAGGCAAATATCAGAAAATTCTCCAGGCTCTGTCATGTCTCTGTGGATGGAGGGGAGCTAATGTGCATTGAGTGTCTGCTCTGGTGCCAGTCACAGCCTTAAAGTTTGTTTCACATGATCAGCAGTAAACTCAGGATTATTGTCTCATTTTATAGATGAGGAAACAGAGGCTCAGAGAAGGAAATATCTGTCCTTGCTTCACATTGCTGTTGACAGAGTCAGGATTTAGACGTAGCTGTTCTTGACATGAAACCTGTGCTCTGCCATTCTTCATTAATTCAACATACATATTTTGAATCATCCAAGTGGTTAAGTTCCTTGGTGATTAAGACAGACTAGAGCTCTATTTTCATAGACCTTGCATTCTAGGCATTCATTGGGATGCAAAGAGAATAGAAAACCAGTAATTGATATGGCGCTCACAGCATTGACTTAACTCTGAATTCTGAAGGACTTGCTCATCCACCTACAAACGTTTTGCCATCTTTTGTCTGTTAGTGTTGGTGAGCTTAAGAATAGCCCGGGCAAGCATGGCACTCTTCTCTGCCTGTCCCCACGTGGGGTCAGTGATCTTTTTCAACACACAGTACTTGGGCAGCCAAAACCAGTTGGTCAGTTGGTCGATATTGCCGTTTGAGAGCAAAGCGGCCAGTTTGCCTTGGGATACTGGTGAGTATCCTCCTTCAGTGAGGGAATAAAGGTAAAGATAAGGAATGGAAGTTCTATATAAATGTATGCCTCTTTTGTTTGACTCATGAGTAGTTTAAACATCATGTTAGGGAAATGACTATAATTTCCTGAGGTATGCATCCTACCATGTCAAATCAAAATATACATACCTAGGGTAAATTAGAACTAGTTTCAGTAGGTTTACTTACAAAATGAAACTTCAATTAACATTTTTTTCTTGCATATGAAGACATGCAAAAGCTAAAGTATAAGATAAGATTTGGGAAGTTATAGACATGAAATCAGGGGATGCATTTTTCTAATAGAGTCAAACCAGATTACTAATAACATTTGTTCATCGAGCTTTAACTGAGGACTTTCCTTGTAGTTTATGGGCGCTGTATCTTGTAGTGTGAAGATGTAAGTAAATATTGACATACTTCCTGCCTAGCTTGATGTCAGCAGTAAAGGCTCTTGTGCCTACAGGAGAAAGCTGCATGGAGCTACTTAGAAAAAGAGATTGGTGGTAGTGGGGAGTGTGGGAGTAGTGAGTTGGTTATCACTCTTGTGACAAGCTGTAGAAGAGGATAGGAGATGTGAGATAAAGCTGCTTCTTCACAGTGGAGACTCTTCTTCTGTTAACTTCATAAATTAATGTTTAATTTTACTATGAATGGCTGTTCTCTGGCAGAAGGAAATTTTCTTTGTCCAGTTAATTTTTATTTATCTTGACTGTATTCTTTTTTTTTTTTTACTATATGATATACATCAAACATGATTACAAATTGTTTTTTGGTTGTTAAAAGAATCAGCTTCCTTATGTAATAATTTTTTTAATAATAATAATAATGACAAAGTAACATTACTAGGCACAGTCACCATTCAGTCTCCTCTTAACCCCCTCAAGTAACTGGCAGTTTAGTAGGTTGGCTTTTCTGTCTGTCTTGGGCTGTTAGGGATTTGACTTTATCATGTACAGCCCCATGTTGGTAATAAACAGTTGTGCTTAGTAGTGTCAGAGATCCCTTCCAATGCTGAGACTCTATGGTCAGAGAGGCCATCTTAAGAATTCACTGTTTTAAGCACTGACCATACTTATATTCTGTACTCTTAGATTCTACACATATGTGTTCTGTGTTCTGGTTTTTCTTCTTGACCTCATATAGGTGTAGCATAAAGGCCATTTAAAGATGAACAGATAAACTTTCTAGTTACTTCTTCTAAAACAATAACAGCAAAATGCTTAGAAAAGTAAAATAGGTGTTTATCAACCTCCATGCATTTGAGACATAAAGGGTTGGAGGAACTTAAGGTCAGGAATTGGGCTCTGAATTCAAGTGTTGTAGATTGACTCTCTCCAAACCCAAACTTCTTTTTTTTGGGGGGGGGTCTTTTTGAGACAGGGTCTCCCTGTAGCCCCAGGAACTCACTATGTAGACCAGGCTGGCCTCGAACTCACAGAGATCCGCCTGCCTCTGCCTCCCAAGTGCTGGGACTACAGGCCTGCGCCACCACGCCCACCCGGCTCCTAAAATTCTTTTAAGAATGTCCGCAGCCTTACTTTCATGAATTCTGCATTGTCATGTCAGTGAAAGTTTCTTTCTTTCACCTACTTTCCAGTTGTCCTTTAAGCTTGTAAGAGTGTAGTTACAGTGTTGTTCGAGTATGAAGCTAGTAGGTGCTTTAGGAAATCTGTGTATTAGTGTGCCATTTGGCCCAATAGTGAGCAAGTCTGTCAGAGAAGCCCCTCAAGGATATTAGGACCGTGGTGTATCAGCTAGATAATGGCATGAAGTCTGCCATATTTGAGGACTTTACACATTTAAAAATTTTTTATTTTATGTGTATGAGTGTATTGCCTCATGTATGTAAGTGTACCCCTGTTGTATAGTGCCTGCAGAGGATAGAAGGTGTCGGATCCCCTGGAATGGAAGATACAGACAGTTGTTAGCTGCCGTGTGGGTGCTGGGATTTGAACCTGAGTCTTCTGCAAGAACAGCCAGTGCTCTTAACCACTGAACCATCTCTCCAGCCCCTTTATACACATTTTAAAAAAAAAATGTATTTACTTTTATTTTATTTGTAAGGGTGTTTGACTACATGTATGGATGTGTACCCTGTGTGCGAAGTGCCTGTGGAGGCTAGAAGAGGGCATTGGATCCCTAGAACTGAAGATGCAGATGGTTGTGCACTGCCATGTGGGTGCTGGGAATTAAATCTGGGTCCTTTGGCAACCAGCACTCTTAATCGCTGAGCCATTTCTCCAGCCCTACCTTTACACACTCTTGATAAATGTTTAGAGTATGTTTATATAGTCGCTGCTCGTGACTGGGCATTACTGTGTGCCAGGTGCTGAGTAAGATACATTGCTTGTGTTATCTCACTACCTCTCTAACATTTGGGTACCATATCATCTCATATTGTGAAAGGCCAAACTTACTGCTCAGGTCACGTGGTCCCAGAGCTGGATTAGAACTGAGAATGTTCTGACAGAAACCCATGCTTTCTCTACTGCAGCAGTCTACCTCTCCTGCTGTGCAGACCAGTGAAGATTTATTGCTCATTCCAAAACACGAGTGAGTTTGGTATATATGCGAACGAGTTAAATTTATTTACTTATTCCAAATCTGCACTGGTATATTTTAAGTGTAAAATGTCAACTGGAATTTTTAACGTATGAAATCTTTCATCTGTCCTTACACCAGTCTTTGCACAGACCAGCCCTCCTCCCTTGAGGATTTATTGTGGTTTTGATCTGTGTTGCCTCAAACCATTGAAATCTTTTCAAAGAAGCAGAGCTGTTTTCTTTTTATTTTTTCTTTTTCTTTTTTTCCTTCCGCAATACACTGGTACCAGGAGTGGACATAGTTTGCTATTCAGCTTGATCAAAGCACTCTACACCAATGTAACTTCCTGATCTTACTGGTAACAGAACTAAATGTTTCCATGTTCTGCCAAGATGGGTTGCCAGTTATCGACAGAGGGCTTGCATCTGGTAATAATTATTTACTAATTCTGTTTACCTTTTGATCTGGTTTTCAGTGTACAGCTGCAGCTATCAAGGCTATAAGAGAAAGTGGAATGAATCTGAATCCAGAAGTGGAAGGGACGCTAATTCGGGTACCCATTCCTCAGTAAGTTTGGCTGAAATTCATGTATTTCAGTGACATGGGCAGTTGTCCTTGGATGTGTGCTGTCTTGCTATGTTGCCAGGCATTTGAGGTCATCCTGCCTCAGTGTTCAGAGTGCTAGGAATACAGGTGTGAGCCACCATACTCAGCTATGAAAACCAATCACAATACTGAGAAACCAAGAGTTTCCTTGACTGAACTTTTCCTGACTTATGACCAGAAAATAGCTGTATTATTCTTTTGTCTTCTTTGAACTATATAAAGCTGAATTCATTCTCTGTTGTGAAATCAGGTGAATTGGGGCAATGTAATCTGTTGTTTAATAGCCATAAAAACCTGGGTTTAAGTTCAGTACTTGTTTGCTTGGGAATGTCTTCTGAGCGTGTGTGTACCAGGTTCTGTTGGGGATGCTCACCTTGATGTTCACCTTTGTAGAGCTCATAGGCCATTTGCAAGGCTTATTGTTTATATTCTCTCCAGCTTACTTGGGGAACTTACTGTGGCTCACAGTTTATAGACAAATAGAACTAAGGAGTTGCCCAAGATCACAGGACTAGTAAGTGGTAACCAGGATTTGAGAATCCTGAGCTTTTCTTTTACTTTCTGTCCCGATGAATAATTCTGGAACGTGCTAAATGTGCTCATGAATATTAGAAGCAAGATATACAAGTGGAGGAACTGAAGAGATGGCCCAGTGGTTAAGAATGCTTGCTGCTCTTCCAGAGGACCCAAATTCAGCACCCACATTGGGCAGCTTACAACTACCTGTAACTCCAAGGGAATCCAACACCTTCTGGCCTCTGCATGTTCCCACACACATGCACACAAATAAAAATAAACCTTTTAAAAATAATTTAAAGCTGGGCGTGGTGGCACACGCCTGTAGTCCCAGCACTTGGGAGGCAGAGGCAGGCGGATCTCTGTGAGTTCAAGGCCAGTCTGGTCTACACGGTGAGTTCTAGGACAGCTGGGGCTACAGGGAGACCCTGTCTCAAAAAGACCAAAAAAAATAAAATAAAATAAAAATAAAAATAATTTTAAAAGATTTACAAGTGGAATGGACTGTAGCCAGCAGGGTGCTTCTCTGGTTCTTGCTCCGTCTGCAACCTTGGACAAACCCCTTCCATTTCCTGAGCCTTGGATTCTTCATACATTAGATGAAAGGGTTGTCCTCCTGTCTGCCAGGTCCCTTCTGAAGTTCCCAGATTGTGTTATACTGAGTTTGTGTCAGTAATGTTCATCCGTTGACTTGCGTTCTTTTCAGAGCAACTCAAAAGCATGTCATATTTTTATTTGAAAGATCAGGTTGACATAAGGCACATCTCTGCAGCCCTACAGGAGTTGACGGTTGCCCTTGGTGTATCGTATGTAAGTTTGAAGGATCAGTGAGTTTAACATGAATTTCTGAAGACATGGGGATTCATTACATTATTTTTTACATTATTTTATCTTTGTTAATAGATGTAATCCAAGAGAAAGTTGACAGACCAAAACCGTCTGCTCCTGGAAACCTCATTTTTTACGTACTTTCTTCCCCTTGACAGGGTGGTAGGGTCATGAGGCCCCTTATTGAATTCTGCATTTGGTAGTTTTCCAGATAAAAAATGAATGATCTGTTCTGTATTACAGAGGCTGTGGTCATGTGAGGGGATAAAAGTTGATTTAAAAGTAAAAGGATGAAGTTTTACTATATTTTATCAGTGACTTCCATATGACTCTGGGCATATCACACTAGCAGCTTGCTGCCTTCAAGTTCATTATTTGTAAAATAGGTGAAAGAGTACATAATGACAGGTAGTGGTTTTGTGATATTAAGAGAGGAAATAAGTAAGAGAAGAAACCTTGTGTACTGTTACTTCAGTATGTGTCATGTTCTATTTTATGTACAATTTTAGGAGGAAAGTCAGGAGTGAGGAAGGGAATTAGTATGCTGGCACCTATTGTACTGGGAGCCTGCAGGTGCCTGACTCATCCAGGGGAAGCAGAAGAGGACAGTGGTAGATTTATTTAAACCTTGGTATCACACAAGAGTTACATTGAGATCCAGCTCTTCTTTTTAACTACATGACAGTGGCAGCTCTGTTTACCTTGCTAAAACTCAGAGAGTTTTATCTGTAAAACGATATCATGGGGACTGGAGAGATGACTCAGCAGTTAAGAGCACTGACTGCTCTTGCAGAGGACCAGGGTTTGGTTTCCAGCACCCACATGGCAGCTAAGGATCATCTATAATTCCAGTTCTAGGGCATCTGAAGCCCTCTTCTGGCCTCTGAGGGTATTGCATGTATGGGTTTACATACATGCAGACAAAACATTCATAGACATAAAATAAAAATAAATTTAGAAAAGTTTTAAAAAATGAAATTCATGGGATGTGGTTTTTTTTTTATGTGGTTATTGGGAGATTTCAGTGTGGTGATACACCTGGAGCTTTTTTTGGCTGCTTTGTTTTGTTTTTCGAGACAGGGTCTCCCTGTAGCCCCAGGTGGCCTGGAACTTGCTGTGTAGACCAGGCTGGCCTACAGAGATCTGTCTGACTCTGCCTCCTGAGTGCTGGGATTAAAGGTGCATGCCACCATGCTCAGTGTATAATTTTAGGAGGGAGCTTTTGATGCTCAATATAACCCATTTGATGTTAGCAAATGCTGTTGTTCCCTTCATTTTCTTTCACAAATAGGTAAGGCATCATTTCCTTTCAGTGATGAGGACACAGATTGAGAGAGCTAAAGCACCAGCCCCGGGTTTCACAGTTGGCAACTGGCAAAGCTTATAGAAAACAAGAAAAGCAAAGTTTGTCTTGGGAACTCGGGAAGTATAAGAGACCATGAAGCATGAATTGCTGATCCATTTCTGCTTATAAAATTTTAAGTTTAGTTCTGGGGAAATTTGCTTATGTTGGTTGATTGTGATCCCTCACTGCCTAAGATCGTCTGCAAGTTGGATTTTTGTGGTAACTCTGGTTACCCACACCTGCATTGTGTCAATAACTTCAACAGCGCTTAGCTACTACCTTCCTTCATTACACTCCTGTGAGTCTTATGTTCCTTTGAAAAATTATTTTACTGAGTTCATGACTCTTACTATGTAGAATCTACCACTGATCTTTTGAGAAGGAGGTGGAAGATATGTCACATCAGTACAGGTCAGGCTAGGAACCTGGGTAGTCCTTTCCACCCAGTCCTCTCTTTGTAGCCTCTGAGGATCAGCTCTGTGGCTGTAGGTTTTTTGTTTTGTTTTTGTTATTGTTGCTTTGACACAGGGTCTCACTATATAGGCTGACTAGCCTGGAGTTCCCTTTGAATTCACAGAGATCTGCCTGCCTCTGCCTCCTCACTGCCGGGATGAAAGGTGTGTACCACCATGCCTGGCTGTGGCTGTAGCTTTTTATCATGCTCTCTCTTTGATAAAACATCTCCATCTGTTCTTCAGGAAAACTTTTGTACTTTGCCCTAAATGTGATGATACATCTACGTTCTTTAACACGATGATTCTTCCTGGCCTCAAATTTGTTAGCAAAAGATGGCTTTGCATTTTTGATCTTCTATGCACCACCACACGTGGTCTATTCCTTGTTCTTTCTAAAGGTTGTTCAGTGTTTTCAGTTTGTTCTTAGCATTAGCTAATGTCAGATAGCCTGGTTAAGTGGTTAGTAACTGTGTTTTACTGATTTTCTAAAACTCCAGGTTCTGCTGTGAGGAGAGGAGGTGGGGAGATTGTTGAACTGGGGAAAACATGAATGTGAAATGTTGGGGCCTTGTGTCGCTCCTGCTGCTAGATTGCCTGTGTGTTGCAGCACCCCTGCGTAGTGCTGAGCTGTTTAGAGACGTGGACATTTCAGGGCCTGACAGCCTTCTGTAACATGCCTGGGTGACCCCTCCATTGTTCCTCAGACCCAAACCTGCCTCATTCCTGTAGGAACCTCTATAGTATTTGATCCCTCCTCTGACCACTGCAGGGCAGGACTGATCCTAAGCAAGGTTACAGCTTCCTGAGTGCAAGCAGTGTATCCTGCATTGTTAGCCTCATTTCTTTCTGTTATTCCCGTTCTTTTGTATGTGAGTATTGTTAGCCTGTGAGAGGCCAAGTGCTTGCCCAGGTTCATTTACCTAGTACAGGCAGAGCTGAACAGGATTCAGATTTGGGACTCTTTGACATTAGAGTTAAGTTCTTGTGTTTGTGGGCTTTAAGAGTGCTTTCTGTTTCTACTTTTGCTTTACATTTGCTTGTTTTCATAGTAAAGGGCAGCAATTGGTCTTTAAAGTTTTAATTATATAATAATCCAAACTATGTGGAATAAACATAATTTTTAAAGCTCAAATATGGGTGTACCATCTGACAGTAGATTTGTATGCCATTTTTTAGTTAGAAAGGCAATCTGGGATATATGATACTAGAAATAATTTAACTCTATTGAGGTGTAATTTAAAGTTAGTAAAATGAACCAATTTCAAGTATACATGATGAGTTTCAACAAATGTGCATGTCCCTGTAACTACCATCCATTCGAGACAGAAGACGATTATTTTCCCTTTGTCTCTTGGCAGGTCAGTCCCAAGTTCTCCTTCTCTGATACCAGACAACCACTGTCTACTTTTATAAGACTGTTGAAGGTTCTTTCTTTTTTCAGAAGAAACATAAAGCTTTTAGGACATTCATAAGCTTCCTCAACAGGTGTTTGCTGAGTACATACCATATGTGGCAGTTTGAGATACTGTGGATGAGGTGGAAAAAAAGCCAGAGAACCCATTACCTATGTAGAACCTCAACCGAGGAAATTGTCAGAACCACACATACAGAGTGAGAGAGTGGGAAGGAGGGAGATACAGATGGGGGTAAGGAGAAAGAGGAGAGAGGGGAGGGGAGGGGAGAGGAGAGGAGAGACAGAGAATGAGAATATCTTTGGATAAATAAAAATGAGCAGTGAAGGAAGGAATGCCATGGGTATAGCTGATGGAGATGGTGATTCCATATTGAGGGCATTCAGGGAAGTGATATGTGAGCAG